AAGAGCACTGCATAAACACTGCTATTGTTATTGGTTTGCCGAGTATGCACCTTTCAGAATGAAAATACTAAGGCATCATCAAACTATGGAGTAAAACCATCAGTTGCTTTGGATTACAATATCCTGCAACCCACGCAATGTTTTCTTACTGCTCCTCATAACATTACACTGGAAACAAACTACACATTTAATACTGTAAAAAAAAAAGTAAAAAGTAGTTCAACTTAGTGTCCACCAGATAGCAACATAACACAACATTCAACAACCTGAAAGGTAGTAACCTGGAGTGGTCAATAGATGGCACATTACAACAGTAAACTGGTAACTTAAGATTTAGATCCCACACACCCTTTTAATTGTATTTTTCTTACTTCTGGACAATATTAGATGGTCAGTATAATGTTACCCTCTAATCTATACCATCTGTGCAGATGTTCTTTCTTCATGCTGTTACTAATTAGGATCAATCCACAATAACAAGATCATCCTTAATTAAAAGCAATCTTAATGCCAGGACAAGATTTTCAGGTAATCTTTTTGCTCGGAAGCAGTATTTGACACTGTCTCCTAAATCCTGATCTAATCAACAGCTATGACAGCATGGTTGGTGCCCCTGGCTCATATTTAGTCTTAATGACTTTTATCCTAATAAATGACAGCTGCATCATACAGTAACTAATTTCCTGTATACTGAATGTTTTTATTTTATTGCATTAAAGGCATTACTGAAATATAACCCCAAAACACATCAAAACACCACAATCTGCTCCTAAAAGTGGATAGTTACACAATGTGTTTGTTATAAATACGTTCTAGTTATGTCTGTGGCTTTTCAAACCCCAAAAGGCACAAAGTTACCATTTGATTAAAAAAAGTAATGTGCACAAAACGAAAGAGTTTCAAGTGAATGGACTTTATATTTAGTTTAGTCTGTTTAGTTTATTCTGTTTAAGTGATTACTCATTCAAAAGAATTTCCAGTGATTAAATTAAGTAAATAGCTTTCCTCAGACGTAAAATAACAAAATAGCACTGTATTTATCTGCTGAGTCTAACGGAAAATGTGAAACTAAAATGTTTGGAAAAGGAAATGAAGTATACTACTACTACTAGTCTTAAATGTGTCCACCGAGGTAGCATAAATCAGAATCCACACACACATTTCTCCCTTTCTCTTGTCTCTTCCTTGCATGCCTTACTCTTTCAATTTTCTTACTTACTATTTTTCTACTCTCTTTCTTTTGATGCCATTGTAGATGCTGCTGGCAGATATGGGGTGGCAATAGAACAGTGGATAAGACACATGTCTTTGGTGCGACCCGGGTTCAAAACCCCACTGTGACACATTCACCAAAGTGTCCCCTGAGCAAGACTCTTAACCCCTAGTTGTTCCAGAGGTGTGCGACATACATTGCAATTGTAAGTTGCTTTGGATAAAAGTGTCAGCTAAATGAGTGAATGTATTGTAATTTTGGTGCATACAGTATTGTGACCAAAGCATTACAGTGACACCCTTCTAACAAAAACTGCAAAGACTCAGAGACATATGCTGGAAAAGAGATTACACAAGTAGGATTAGGAAACATGTTAATCTTAATCTCGTTTCATGTCACTGATCATCTTTGTTGCTTTTATCCGTACCAGTATGAAGCATATCCTGCCCTGTTGCTGGTTTGTGCCGTACACAGTTGCTGTCTTAACACAACCACAATAAATATATATTGTACCTACATAATACACTGGCCAATGAGTAACATCTTATTTTATAGATTTGCTCTCTCTCTCTCTCTCTCTCCACCAACCTTCTGGAGGAGAAAGTCCACCTTCATTCAGATGGAAATTACTCACCTTGGAGCCTCTGCTTCCTTCTTTGAGAGTATAATGAAGTGTCCCGGGTGTTGTTCACACATCTACAACTCTTTTTGCATAATTAATCAGCCGTTGTTTTCCTAGACTCTTTAGTTATCTTCCTGGAACTGTTTTGCCCATGATCTTTGGGTTTCAGGTGAATCTATGCGCTTTATCGCTATATTGCCTGAAGAAAAGAGCACAGTTCAAAATAAGATATATAATCAATATATAAATATAATCAGGAAATCGGTCAGTTTGGTGTTGTGGTGTTGTGGAGCCTGGTGGCTGATGGCACAAATGAGCCTCCAAAGCGCTTTGGGGCTCGGGGCTGGATGAGTCTGTGGCTTAAGGAGCTCCTGAGCTGCCTCAGATCAGCGTAGAGAGGATGAGAGGGGTTGTCCATGATGGTTTTCAGCTTCCCTCTCATCCTCTTCTCATTCAGTGACTCCACACTGTCCAGTTCCATCCCCACCACCGAGCTGGCCTTCCTCACCAGCTTGCCCAGTTTGTTGGCGCCACAAGTCCCGATGCCACCTCCCACAGCAAAAAACAGCAAAGAAGATACTGGCCACTACAGACTGGTAGAACAACCGTGGCAGCCCGGTGCTCACATTGAAGGACCTGAGCCTCCTCAGGAAAAACAGCCTGCTTTGTCCTTCCCTGTAGATGTACTGCTATGTAAGCAGTAACAAGGACAACGATTAAAACTTAAAATGGCCTTCTCTAGTAAGATACATTATCTTACAATAATATGAAGCACAATCATCTTATCAATCCATGTTATGAGTCTAACAAAAGACAACTTCAACTGAAACTACTGTTGTCTTTGATTGGAAAACTGCCTCTATGCCTGATCTGTCTCTGACTTATAGTGCAACACAGGGAAAAAGACACAATTCAACAATCTCCCCTTGCTGCTGTAATTCTCATTGGATGAGAGTCAAAAAAATACATATACATGTACATGAAAAGCATGTTTGAGAAAAGGCTCAGTATTACTATTTTAGCAAAGGGGATAAAGAGAAAGTAGAGACATTTGCAGCAACAGCACAACACAATGGAAAACAATACAGGTGTGTTTTTGAATATAGACTTTGTCAAGCAAACAACAACACGGTTGGATGCAAATGAAAGTAGCTGGGAAAGAAAGATCAGCATGCTCGTGCCAAATACTTTTGATGTGCAAGAACAGAGCTAATGCGAGATGTACTGTTAGTGTAGTGAGTTTGTTTATCTGTGTGTGAGCTGACTACGCAACAACATTACTGAATAGGACCCTTAAATACACAATGTTCTTCCAAACCTGATCTTCCGTAGGCCAATCTGAAAACTGCTGCGTGCATGTTGTTGCTAAGGAAGTCGTGCCACAGTGAGAGAAAGTGATTGGACTGAAGAGTCACAGATCCACAGAGTTATGCAAACACAACAGCCACACAAAATATCCAGCACTCAGAATACATTTATTTTGTTACAGTCTATTTAAGACACTGTGGCTTATGCAAACAGCACAAAAGCAAACTGTGATCCTGGAGTCAATACTGAACCAGTTTACAGTAAATTTGTAACTCTGGTAACATATGACTCAGGACAGAGGCGTTGTGAGGGAGAGAGCTTCCTTGGCAACCATTTTTGAACTGACTGTCATCATGTGACAAACTGATGCAGCCAAGCGCTGAAAAAAAAACAGAGACAGGGACACACAGGGAGACAAACGGAGGGAGGGAGGGAGGGAGGGGGAGAGTGAGCACTGCTGGTGACTCAGAGGAGGCTGATTCTGACGTTATCCACCAACCCCTCCCTTCTCCCAGTTCCCCTGCTTACATGGCAGATCCTGGACGTTCCACAAAATACAGTGTGTGCACAATTATTAGGCAAGTGATTATTTTTACCATATCGTTATTTTTATGCATATTTAATAACTCCAAGCTGTATAAAGTTGACAATTGGATGTAAGCATATCAGATGATGTATATTTGTGTAATAAGGAAGGCTGTGGCCTAAATCCTCCTTTATTATGCTCTTTTTGCACCCAAGTTAAGTATTAGCAACAAAACTTTGATTGTCTGGTCACGCCTCAAAAGTTTCACTATTTCAAGAGTGATGCATCTGTCTGAAAGGGATTTGGCCCGTTTTATCTGAGCGAATGAAGCTGCCTAAAAATTACACAAATATACATCACCTTACATGCTTAAAACCAATGAGCATTCAAATTTATACAGCTTGGACTTGCATTAAAATGATGATATGATCAAAATACTCACTTGCCTACTTACTGTGCACACAGTGTGTAACAACATAACACAACATATTGTGCATTTTGTCTAGTGAATGGTCAGCAATATTTGGCTCGCCCATATCCATGCCAAACCTTTAAGTCATCACTTTGTGGGAACAACTTTTTATTGATATTTTTTGCTTGTGATCAGCATTCAGAAATGGTGAGAAACAAACAATATAGTGAAATGTGACCTATAGAACTATTTACTATAGTGCTATAGGTCTTAATATTAGGTATTAAGGCCCGCACCTCCGGACTCTTGAACAGTTTCTGTACATGTGCAATTAAGTAACTTAACTCAGTGTGAAACTGTGAAGCATTACTGAAATATTGACTGTGCAATATATAATATGTGTTTTGTCAATTCTTTTACTTTTTCTTTATTTGATTCTACATCAAGGGAACATGCACTTAAAATCTCATTGAACTATGTTAAGTGACAATAAAGCATTTTGATTCTGATAATAGAAAATGAGAAGAAACATAAATAATCTCAATGTCCTCTAGAAGCAAATATCTATTTGCTATATTTTTGTTTGTGTTGTTGAACCACACCTCAACAATACAAACATCTATACACAGAGTGAGCAATATATGGCCTGTCATGGAAAATACATAATAACTTGCAGGATATAATCAAATTAATGTTCAGTCTGAGAGGATATTGATCAACAGCATAGATATAAACTATTATGGCTTTTTTCTGCTTAAATCTTAAGTCTGTAGCTGAATCCCATCTCCTTTCCAGGGAACACTCAAATGTGGGATACACTCATTCACCATTATGTAAAAAAAAAAAAAAGGCGAAACTGCTCTTAGCAGTCTCTTGCATTCACGGCAGGTACGCATGCGCAGTGCCCCTTGTTGGTTGCAACACTGACATCGAGATCGACTCGTCATCTGGAGAAAACGGACGTTTCTAACCCTTTTGAGATAAACTGAGCCACTATACACGAACTGTGCAGGACAACTACGATCATAAACGGATTACAATAGGGGAAGTTCGGGAAACAACACAATCAATAATATTAAAAAAATTCTTCGTCACGTGGTCACGCTTGACCAATCGGAGCGAGCCGAAACCAGCGGAAAGTATTTCCCTTTGTTCGGATATTTTGGCTACTTTATATCCAAATCTGAGCCTAATGCTTTGTATAAATCACAGGATGTGGATGAGGAGGAGACGTTTTCTGGAGAAATGACCCGCGGTGGATGTGTTTTATTGCGTTGTGAAATGCCACGTGTTCAACTTTTGATAAACAGTATTGCTTTGGCGTATCTCGATCTCATCACATGACTCCCCTCCCCCACCCGGCTCAGGGAATGGGGAAGAAGGCGGACATGTTGGAGGCAAATGTGTTGGTTAAAAAGTATCGAGGTGGAGGACAAGAAGATTATTTGACGAAAGGTTTCGCATTATTTTTTTTTATTTTTCCGGATTTACCAGTCGACATTTCTATTTACTATAAATTCAAGGTTTTTTTTATATGTCATACTTTGAAAACATTTCTTTTTTTTATAGCCTTATTCAACTTTCCTTTTTAACCGTAGTCTAGCCTACTTTATGTTTTTAACCGTGTAAACATATGTAATACTATTGTAAAGATCTTTTAGTGTTAGTTTGCATCGTTTATTTGAGTGACATTGTAGGGAATTTGTAACCTTCATGTTGGGGGATGGGCGCATGTGGTTAGGTAACCATTTTGGGTGGTTGTTGAATTTGTAGAGAGGTCGCTTTTTAAAGAGACGAATTCTTCTAAATAATGACTAAGTAGTTGATTGTTGTAACTGTAATCTTTGTAATTATTTTTTAAATGTTTGGTTTAGTCTCGTTTAAACCCAAGGTAAAGGCTCAGGCATGGTAGGCCTGGTTGTTTTCAAACCTATACAAAATACGTTTTTCTTGTGATTTCCTTTTTAGCTTTAAGGTAATTAACGTAATTGTTAGTTGGGTTGGGCAAAAGGAGCTTTTACTTTGATCATAAAGTCTTGAGGCCAGTGAGGAAAACTGCTGTGTCATTCAGTGGTTATTGATAGATCCTTTGACCCCCTCTAGGTGTGGTCTTTTTTTATTGTTCTTGAAGTAAGTAAGGCAGCAAATGTAGAGCCTCGCCGATGTATATTCACGTATGACTGTAAGCTTTGTTTTGTTTTTATCTTAGTACTACTTTGTTGTTTGTGAGCCATGGAGGCCTTGTTTTGTGTTCTCAAAATGGTGGCTTTTTTTTTTTCTCAGCAGCACTTGAACGCTACTTGTTTCACTTCGGTTTGTAAGCGTGATGTGTGGCTGTTTCTGTTTGTTATGTTTGATGTTTGACCTTAACTTGGCTGTAAGTTATTCCATTGTAGTAACTGTGTCATTGCGCTTAAAGATGGCGGCCATGCGCCTCTTCCGAAAGACAGAAATGCGGACATTCTGGTAAGTAGAGCGCTCGTGGGGAGAGGCTCTTGGCTCTTGAGGGGTACGCGTGACCTGCTGGAAGAACCAATGGGCTTCTTGGGCTTCACCCTTGAAGCCCGCGTTCCAACCGTGTTGACCAATCCCTGTCGCCGCTTTGCACACGTTGACGTAATGTAATATGATGAGGAGGAGAGCCGCTTCGTTGCCTTCGCATTTTGTACAGGATTAAGCGGAGGAGCCAGTTACATGCTGGATTTCTGTAATGCTGAATAGACCGAGCCAATAGTATTGTGTAATTTTCTTGACGGACAGCAGGAACTTGCGAATGGGTTGGGCCGAAAGTTTGTCATTAAAGCCTCAGTATCTAGGGGTGTGGTGACTTTGAGGGACGTCGTAAGCAGCGAATAGAAACCCAGAGGGCGTGGACTTTCTGAGATGGGCTATCCAATAGAGCGAAGAGTCGGTCTATAAAAGCACGGGTGTAGTCGCATCGTCGCCATTTCAACGAAGCAGATTAAAGGAGTCCAGTGTGGCGGGGAGCGGAGAAAACTGACGGAACAGAGACGGATCCAGGTCCGAGTCTAGCTAAAAACAGAATCCGGATCCATCCTGATGGAAATGGCTGTTAACCCGCTCCTTGACAGGTATCTACCGGTAAAATTGACTCTCAGCTATCAGTCAGAAGGAATATTATAAACGTTTGTCATGATTTTTTTTCTTTTAAATGTCGTTGATGTGAAGGCTGTGTATTGCTGTGTAATACGAGTGGAAGGGAGAAATGGACACTGAATGTGCAGGAGGAATAAGTTTGCCGCGTCGTTAACGGGATCAACGTTAGACGCGAAAAATTATGTTATAGGAAATAACAATGTCTTTGTGGGTTGTAACAAGCTGCGACTGTTGTTCGCACTACGCCGGCGCCATCTTCGGAGCGCCTCTGCCGTTGGCCGCTCTCTCCCGCTGCCTGGCAGTTGGTGCTAGCATTGTTAGCATTAGCTTCACGGACCAGAGCTTTTCCCCTGAATAACAACAGCTCGACCACTCTTGAGTCAGATCGGTGGATCTTATTTATATAAAGCTAATTGTTTTGTAATTAAGTGATCTAAATATGACTACCTGACAAAAGGTAGGTTAACAACCCGACTAACTTTTAGTGACCATATTATAACTTCTAACGTTAACGAAGAATAAATTGAGCCGGGTTAGTGTTAAAACTCGCCGTAGATGATCTCTATAAAGCGGGACAGCGGAGCGCCGCCACACCGGCATTATTGCGTGTTTCCTCAGGTTGTTATTGTAGCCATGTGACGGTCAGGGGTTGTTGTGATCACTGGATCAGCGGCATTGTAGCGTTAGCACAAAAGCTAACGCAGCTAGCCATGTGTGTTTGGTGTTTCAGCTGGCTGCCTGGTTACATCGCTCAATGTCACTCAACCTAATCCAGGTAGAAACTTTCTATTGTGGCAAAAGTTAAACTCACCAACACGGTTTATACTTTTATATTAATTTATATCGTAACTCCACTGTAACTTACTTCAGTGTCAAAGTTTCTTCTGTTTTTTACCCTTTCCTCGCTTTGGCACGCATACCTCTATTTTTACTTATTTATTAATGCGATTTACAGCTAAATTAATATAAAAATGTTTTTGTTTAGTGTTGTTAATGTTATGTACATGATTACTTTTCTTCTTTAATAATAAAGTACACTAACTGTCAAATGTGTTTCCAAAAGTTGTATCATTCAAAACGGATTGCTTTACCAGACAATTTAAATAGAGTATAATAATAGTATTTGTATTTTATTAAACATTTATTCTTTTAACATTACAGTTGCAGCTAAGATGAGCTTTTATTTATTGAATTTTGTTTTATTGAATGTTTTTGTTAAATATGAATAAGTAGGATGGACTAGTGCAAACATGCTCCAGACGCCTGGGGTACAGGTAGGACAAATGGATACACCAATGCGTTACACACCTACCCCATGGGAATCCTTAATTACTGCATGATGCAAACACAGTAATCTTTGTAACACTATTTGCATCAGTTGCATAAAGGTCACTTTAAAGAAGCTTCAACTACACAAATAAAATGAGCCGATGTGGATTTAATGTTTTCCAGCAGACAACTCTCTTGCAATGCTCTTGGAAGAAGTTTTATTTTGTAATGTTAGTAGGTCTACGGAGATGGGCTATGGTGAGTTCAAGAAGGACATCCCCTGACATCAAATGGCGATCCTGCTATGTGGGTTTTTCATTGGGGAAGTGCATACATTTTGTGACTGCAGTTATGCATATATGGCACAACGAAGTACATGTCTCCACCTTTTAGCAAGTAACTGGTTATCATCAGAGCAGGCTAGTGTCTAATGAGCCGTATGTGTCGGGAACCTCTGAGCGTATAATTTTGATCGGTTATTAAAATGGAACACCCTCAAGTTTTCTATATGTATGCAAGTGTTTATCAGTTTAAGGCGGTATTGATATCGGTATGGACTCAGGAACTACTTTTGTCTTGAGAGGCAGCACTGTTGGTGCAGTAACTACATGCTAGAAAGACTAAATTGTGCAGGATTGGTGTAACACCAGTCTCTGGTGCTGCATTTTGACTTAACTGTCCCATCTGGCTGCATACAGCTGGTTGAGGGGGGCATTGGTGTTTTGTAGTTGATCCAGATCACTGTTTGTCGCTACAGCATTACCACAGTTGAAGTGCTGCAGTACTGGTGAGATAAGCTGTAGAAATATATTTCCTAGGTGGACCTGTGGACATTATTCTGGCATGCAGAGTCACTTACAGAATAACAGTGGGTACTGTCACTCATATGAAAGTGTTTTATAAAGACATTATTCCTAGGTATTAAGAGACGTGTTTTCATGCATATTGTTACTCCTGAAGAACTAACACTGTCCAGGTTATAGAGCAGTGACTCAGGCCAATGGCAGCCCCTGACTCACACTGTGTAGTTTTACTTGCGTTCTCTGTGGAAAATACCTTTTGACGCTCCAAGTTGCAGTGGCTAACGGAGCCCCAGTACTACTGAGGATGTATAAAACACAGCAGGATGATACCTTTTTCACCTTTTTAGAGATTGTTACTTTGACATAGTGACTCTTAGTAAATGGGTTTCTGACAACATTTTATTACATTTCTGGACTGTAGAATAGTCAGTGCTTGTATATCAGCTGAAACCCACAGTCCTTTAGGGAAAGTGTTTTTTTCCCTATAAGAAAATGGGGGTGGTGGATCTGTGAGATGAGGAAGTGTTGGTCTGTTCTGACTGGACTGGGAGTGCTGATATGGGAGAAGTATATTTAAATTCAGGCTGACGTGTGCTTGCTTGCTGAGTAATGTTAAGAACATGTGTGTCTGTGAACGGGATTTACAGGTAGGGGAAGATTGTTAGGATAAGATGCAATGTATGTCAACAATAGAACACTATGTCAGGATTACACTATAATCCAATAATTTTGTGTACATATTAATCACAGGATCCCTGAAAATAACCTTTTCAGTTCATGTCTTTTTTTATAGGGATATATACTCCAAAATAGCCAAAACCATTGCTTCTGTTGCAACTCAGTATTTGAGTTGCTGCAAATGCAGGCAGCATACCTGGTTCTATTAATTAGACCAGGTACATTTCATAATGGACAAAAGGACACTAATAGTTTGGCTGTCAACAATGTGATGCTTTTGTTGAAATGAAAAGCAAACCTCGCTCTGCATGGGAGACTATTAAAGATGAATTTTCATACAGCATGTCGGTCTTGGCATCAGTCTAAGAAATGCAAAACAGTGAATTGGTCTTTCAACTACTCTCTACAGCTCCCATGTCGGGATTGAGGTTGGCATGATGGGAGTCACAACAATGGACCAGGGTTCTGGCGCAGCTGGAAAACGAATCCGAAAACCTTCACTGCTCTATGAGGGCTTTGAGAGTCCCGGGATGCCCCCCCTCAATCAGATGGCATATTCGGGACCCCCACAGCCTCCGGTGAAAGACCCCGGCCGACAGGGGAGGATGACCAACCAACTTCAGTTCCTACAGAAAGTCCTGCTCAAGTCTCTGTGGAGGCACCACTTTGCCTGGCCTTTCCATGAACCGGTAGACGCGACCAAACTCAACCTACCTGTGAGTGTGTCACGAAATTAGATATTACCCGTATCTCCCCATAGTTGGTAGCAACTTAGCAACATTATCAGTTTGTATTTTCCTTTTTTAAATGTGTGAACATTACTGTGCCACCGTTTCTTGTCCTGATAGTGTATCTGTCTCTCTCCAGGACTATCATAAGATCATCAAAACTCCCATGGATATGGGCACTATTAAGAAGCGACTAGAAAATAACTACTACCGCAGTGCCAGTGAGTGCATGCAGGACTTTAACACCATGTTCACCAACTGCTACATTTATAACAAGGTAAGACTTGTGTGAGTCTGAGACAACCTGACATGGACGTACAGCAAACATGCAGATTTTTGTCCACTAAACAGAATTTATACACTCAAATATAAATAAAACTCCCAGGAATTATCTGAAGCCGGTGCCAGATGTTATTTGGGAAACTTGTTTTTTTTACTTATTGTATTAATGTGAGTGTAAAAGCATGTTTTTGACTTTACCTACTTATAACTTCATCTTTTTACTGTTGTAACCCTTTTGTCCAAATGTCCTCCTGCAGCCTACAGATGACATAGTACTGATGGCCCAGTCTCTGGAGAAGGCATTCCTGCAGAAAGTGGCTCAGATGCCGCAGGAGGAGTTAGAGCTGCCTCCTCCCATTCCACGGAGCAAAACGGGCAAACCTGGCAGAAAAGGCAGAGGTAATGCAGGTGAACACTGCCTACAAGCAGATTAACATAGCCAAACGCACATGTCTGCAATCATCATCATCACATATAATCTTTTGTGTACAAAATGTACAAATCATGTGACTGAATATAAATTTTTCTCAATCTGCCCCCTCCTATCTTCACCCCCTCTCTTTTAGTCTCTGGAGGAGTGACGACAGCTCATCAGGTCCCAGCTGTCTCCCAGTCAGTGTACTCGCCTCCCACCCCGGAAACACCTGACCACATCCTCTCCACCCCCCCACAGACACTTTTGACCAAGAGCCTGCTCTCTGAACAAAGCATCCCTAGCATTACGGGTCTGCCTCCCACACAGCCCACCACTAAGGTAATGGTTGGCGTTTGACATTTTCTGTTTGTGTAGTCTATGACATCAGATTTCACATGCTTCTCTGACTCACCTTCTCTTCACCTTTCTTCAACCACAGAAAAAAGGCGTGAAGAGGAAAGCAGACACAACTACCCCAACCACGGTAGCCATGCCCATCATGAGCACCATGGGCGTCAGCGGCATCAGCCTGGGGATGGGCGGTGGGCACAACTCCCCGCTAACCCTCACATCTCTGGGGGTGGACCACAACTCCATGAACCAAGGCCTCAGCCTCAGCCAGGGGATGGGCATGGGGATGGGAATGGGGATGGGCATGGGTAGCATACCCATGATGGGTACCAAATCAGCAGGGGGGGCCAGAAGAGGAGTGAGCGGTCGACCTATCAAGCCTCCCAAGAAGGATTTACCAGATTCCATGGTGCCAGCGCCGGTGCGCCGCAGCAAGCTGAGCCCCCAGCTGCGCTACTGCAATGGGGTCCTGAAGGAGCTGCTCTCGAAGAAACACGCAGCGTACGCCTGGCCGTTCTACAAGCCCGTCGATGCCTCCACCCTCGGTCTTCACGACTACCACGACATCATAAAGCAGCCCATGGACCTCAGCACCATCAAGGTACACACATACACCTATCAACTTTGTCAGAACAGAGGGGGAGGGTGGTGTCTGTTCTCCAGTCCTGCTGCACTGAATTGCAGTAGTTAACAGTAGTAGGTGCAGCATGACCCTTAATATGAAATGGTTTCATATATCTCAAAGATGGAAGTTGGATGTGAAGTATATGCCATTAATCTTACTATGTACATCGTATGTTGCCCCTCTTCTCTGATGGTTAGACTGTTTGTCTTAGATTATTTGGCTAAAAATCTCTTCTCTTACTGTCTTTAGCGGAAGATGGACAGCAGAGAGTATCGGGACTCCCAGCAGTTCTCTGCTGATGTTAGACTGATGTTTTCTAACTGCTACAAGTACAACCCCCCTGATCATGATGTGGTGGCCATGGCCAGAAAGCTGCAGGTAATGTTCTCTTTCCAGTAGTGAGATTTTCTCATTGCTGTATATGTGAGCATAATTAAATTATACTAGTTTCTCCTCTTTCTCATTTTTATTCTCAAATCATCACACTGTTCTTGTTTTTAAACTGACTCACTCTGTTTAATTCTTGTAGGATGTCTTCGAGTTCTGCTTTGCTAAGATGCCAGACGAGCCTCCAGCACCCCCGAGCTCCTCATCTTCCTCGTCCTCCTCGTCGTCGTCATCTGAGAGCGAGCTCAGCAGTGAAAGTGAGGAGAGCGAGAGCAGCCCCAGCTCTGACTCTGAGGAGGAGAGGGCAAACCGGCTGGCAGAGCTGCAGGAACAGGTTTGTACTCGAGTGAATGCACACGAACTTCAGAGCAGGAAACCAGAAAGTCATGATCATGTTGAAATATCTGTTTTATTGTGGCATTAATGTGATGATCTAATGTTGCTATGTCCTTTCCTCCAATAACTCATCTGTCTTTTGTTCTCCCTTCAGCTAAAAGCCGTACACGAGCAGCTCACTGCACTATCCCAGGGCCCCATCGTCAAACCCAAGAAAAAGAAAGAGAAGAAGGACAAGAAAAAGAAGAAAAAGGTAGAAAAGGAGAAGCACAGGAAGGTTGAGGAAGAGCTGCCGCCTATTATTAAACCAGCCAAGGCCCCCAAGATCACCAAGACACCAAAACCCAAGAGCAACCGTGGAACAGCCTGTCCTGTGGTGCCGATAAAGAAGGCACCGAGCAAGAAAAACAACAAGAGCAAGTGAGTACTGACACCTGTTGGACAAAGATGGAAATGAATCTACGTTGTGTATTTTGTATTTTCTGGGGCAGAAAGTCCCAAATGGATTCGCTTCAGCATGAAGTCAAACAGATTTAAGATTTGTGTATAAATACTCATTTTAAACAACAATGACTATCAGTTATAAATTATTATTCATGTAATCATATATTGTTATATGAGCTTTCTCTTGTTTAGCCTCATCTTTGTGGGTTGGATTAGACAATCTCTCAGACATCTTTTAACAGTCTCTCCCTCCATCTCCTTCTCCCCTGTCCTCCGTCAGGTCCAAGAAAGGTGGCATGACCTTTAGCGTGCCTCCGCCGGTCCACGAGCCCATAGTGAGTCATTACGACTCGGATGAAGAGGAGGAAACGGCACCCATGTCGTACGATGAGAAGCGTCAACTCAGCCTGGACATCAACAAGCTGCCGGGGGAGAAGCTGGGCCGCGTTGTTTACATCATCCAGTCCCGCGAGCCCTCGCTCCGAGACACCAACCCAGAGGAGATCGAGATAGACTTCGAGACACTGAAGCCATCAACGCTGCGGGAGCTGGAGAGATACGTCATGACGTGTCTGAGGAAGAAACCTCGAAAGCCATATGGTTAGTAGTACAAATTAACTGAAGATTGTTTTTACTTGTGTGATTAAAATGTTCATGCAATCTGTGTTTAAAAGCTGCAAGGGAATCAGTAAAAAATAGATTATTTTATGAAGTCTAAGGAAAAATAGAACATAATTACAGAAACTTTGAGCCTTAGTGTTGTTGCGTCCTCCGCACTACACTAAAGCAGTAGATATTTGATAATTCTGTACAGTACCGCCAACTTATTGTGATGTTGTCTGTTTGTACACAGCAAGTAAAAACAACATTGCTGGCAAGTCCCGTGAAGAGATCGCTCTGGAGAAACAAATGGAGCTGGAGAGAAGGCTGATGGACGTCAGCGGTCAGCTCAACTCTGGAAAGAAGCCTCCTAAGAATAAACGTAAGTCCTCCATACTGCCGTCTTACAGAGTGCAGTGTTCGTGGTAAAAAAGTGTCCAGATTTTCAAAGAAAAAGTGTCCAGATTTTCAAAGAAGATAAAGGTTGTCAGAAATCGGTAAATGTTTTTGCACTTTTAAATTTAAAGATGTAATTCTGATCTTGTTATATTGTTGAGTTTAATGGCCCTAAAATGTCCTTTCCTTCATTTCAGTAGAAGCTCTTTAGGCTCCATGTACCAAATTATTGTTAACATGTCAGGATTTATTTTAGACATTTAGATTCCTATAGATCCAAATGTTATTGTCATGTGTTGGACACAAATGTGCAGCATCTTTCTCTTGTGGTTTGAGTTCTACCCAAATCAAAGGGCTGAATATGGTCTTGATTGTGTGTGTGTGTTGTTTTCTTCAGCAGAGAAACCGGCAACAGAGACGAACACGCAGCCGTCACGCCTCAGCGCCAGCAGCTCCTCCTCCGACTCCTCTTCATCATCCTCTTCGTCCTCCTCCTCGGACACAAGCGAGTCAGACTCCGGCTGAGAGGCAGGGGGTTTCCATATGATCAGTGTTTCGCTTTCCCACAAAGTGGACTGAACTGTAATAGAGCTACTGACGATGGAGCCGCAGGACGGATCAGACGAGACCAGAGCTAGGCAGGACTGGTCCGACTCGACAAGTGTCAACTCAACAAAGAGCGAGAGAGATGGGGCTTTCCCTGCGCTCGGCTCATTCATCCAGTCCTCTCCTGGACACAGAGACGTTGAGGATGGATGGAAAGAAGTGGAGTCATTGTAAAGTCCTGCCGTTCTCCTGGAGAACTGGCCTTGCTGAGCAGAGCGAGGGACGCTCCATCTCCTGCAACAAGAAAAAGAGAGAAGAGCGACGCATGTGTTGGAGGGATAAGGGTGCTAGAGCCAGAATCTGTCTTATTTCTGGAGATATTTTCCCTTCTTCCCATGCTCCCCGTCTTCATGCTGTATAGATAAGGTGTACAGTTATATGAATATCTATTTTTCTTTTATAAAGAAGCATTTTATGGAGCTAATTTATTCCCTCATTCTGGGAACGATGAACTGGTGTGGGCGGAGTTGTTTTAGTTCTTGTTTAGTTTTTTTCTTGAGTGGCAGAGGGGAAGTGTATGTGTGTTAGTGGTGGGTGGGTGTGCGTGTTGGTATGAATGTGTGTGTGTGTGTGTGCGCGCCTGCCTGCATGAATGTATGTGTTCGCATGCAAGAGTGCGAGATCCGACACCACAAGTGCAGCCTTGTGAATTTCCTCCTAGTTTTGACGCAGGCGTTGAAAATCAGTCTGCACGCAGAAGCACCTTGGTTCAGTAGAATGCATGCAATACAGAGGAGCTGTCAAACATCTGCATACTCATGTACTACTTTACTGCATCCTTGTGTACTCATGTACTTGTTTGAAAAGGGTTGGCCACTGTACAGAAATGTGACATAGTTACACATCAGTTTATACATACATATTTCTGTTCCCATGTGTGCTGTCTATTTTTATTTTTTTCCTTCATCCATTTCTCTGTAAACGTGTTGCTCTTTTTTTTTTTTTTCTTCTTCTTGTGACCAATCTGCTAATAAATTGTGAGGACGTGTCTTGTCCACTCACCTGTGCCCAAATAACATCTTGGTTCTTTTGAGTTCTTTCGGTCTGTTCGGCTCGAGTCGTAAAACATCTGACTGGACTTTGAGGAAAAAGGTTTTGCTGGTTCTTATATTTGATATTTTATTCGAGCAGGTGAAGCAATTTGGGTTTTCACTTCTTAACACCACGGTGTCACAAAGTTAAAACTGCTTCATCTTTAAAAACAATTTGGCCTTTTGAGATCTATGGCAGCTGATCGTATTTATTTTCTGTATTAACTGAGTTTTGTTTAAGAGTAAGTTTACTTATTTGTGTGATTAAAACATTAGTTATACCAGGTTGGGAAGTTTGGCAGGTAAGAAAAGCAACGTGTCCGGTGAAGTTTGGGTTCCAGCAGTCAGTTTACCAGAAGACACACAGGATGGTTTTATGTTGTAATAACGATGCACTGTTTGTTTGGTGGAACTACTAAACAAGTTTGTGACTTAGGTAAGGTGTGTATCATTTTTGTTCTTTTTAAAATCACTATGGCTTGAGATTGAAGTATTGTATGTTTTCAAACTGATTATTTATTTAGAAGGAATTTGAAATAGATACTTTTTTTCATAAAACTGAAAATAATCAAAAGTTAACTATGACATATGCACAGATTCACTGTCAGGATTGTAGAAGTGTACATATTTTACAGTCTCGATCTTTTGAGCATGTTTTTGTTTTTCATTCTTTTGGCTACTGTTCTAAAACAAAAATACTCCAGACTTGTCAGTCTTAACTTTTCTGCAGTTTGTCAGAAATCTAAACGCCTCTGTACTTGACTTCCCATCATTTCATCTGAACATCTGTACATAAATAAACTGGGACATGTTCATCTTTTCACTGACTGGAGGGATATTTTATTTACAGATTATGTAATTTTAGAAACACTGAGCTCAAAGGGAATGAGGATGTTTATTCATGACTGATATAAAACTTTTGTAAACAGTGACATCTACTGTTACAAAATGTATTAAAATATAAAGCTTGCTATTTAAAGTGATAGTAATTGACATACAGCCCAGTTATTGGTACCTGAAATAATTGTAATCTCTCTTTGCTTTAATAAATTGGAGAATTTTAAATGACAAACTCCACAATTTTTTGAAATTCATAACTGACTGGTGTTTTTCTATTAATGCAAGAGATTTTTTTCTATTATATAAAATGTTTGTTTCCTTGAGAAGGATGACAATCAGATAAACGTATAAGCTTATACATGTCTCCGTTCCCAGCTGTAACAGAAACAGGTGAACAATCTTCACTGATTGACGAGCATCACGCACGTCCGTGTTTCCTGTTTATTTTTTAACATTTCTGTGGACAGAAAAGGAAAGCTTTCCGAAATCCCCACATCTGTGTCCATGTTGAGCTGCATCCTGTCTCTCTGTTGTTGGTGAGGTAAGCCACTACAGTGAATCACACCTTACTTCTAATTCCTGCACAGCTCGACCGAACCTTTCCCCTTTTTGTTCCTGGACTGCTGTCACATACCTGGATGAAAGGTGGGAGATCACAGAGATGTGTTGGAGGGCTGTTGTAACTGCAGATCAACCAGGATCTGTCCAGGACCAGAACTGCTCTTATATAATCCATTGCTAAGTTTTAAAGGTATGATATCATGAAATCACACGTTATAAAGTTATTAATTATAACACAATGACTGGTGGGAGTAACTACTTTTAATATTAACAAAATCTTTACTTATATTTAAAATTTGGAATAACTTTAATATTGATTTAGAAATCATGATGACAGTCATGAAGGGTACTGTATCTGTACAGTGTCTGTGTCACATAAAGTCTGTACATCTTTCAGCACTGCAGGAGATGTCTTGTGCCACAGCACACTTACATACATACAGCACACATACTTAAACTTTGTGCATTGGCATTTTCTGTTTAGTTTATCTCGTATTTCTAGCAGAAGGAGTTTAATTTTGTTGTGCTTTTATGAGTGGAAATGCTCACTTTCAATAAAATCTTCTTGTAAGATAAAAATCAGATGAAGCAAAGTCAGAAGTTCCTAAGCAACGGGATCAGTTCTTGGCAATGACAATAGAGCTCAGTCAAAACATTGAGTTCACTCTGGTTCTGCAGAAAAATACATCAGAGTTCAGCCACTGGGGTTTAAGTGACAACTACATCACTGCCAAATGTCTGCTCTATGTAACTTATATAATAATCAATAACTCCATAATAAATAGACTGAGTATTTTTTTAATTTAATTTTAATTATACAAAAAGAAATGAAGACGATACCGTATTCAAATTTCTTATATGGAAATGTTACATCAAAACATCTCATTTCACTAAATGTATTATTTATGCGACATTATGCATGTAGACAGCTGGCTAGATAAAAAATAGATGAGCTTATTATTGTCTTTGACCTCATACTTTTATCATCAGACTCAGTCTTCTTAAATATCAAGCATACACTTGAATCATAAATATTTGTAAGTATTTTTAAGCTGCTTAAACTTATTAGTGAGCTAATTGTTCATTGGAGGTTGTAACATAAAACTTGGGAGAGCTCTGTGACTGAGGATGGTAACATTTTATTATGCAACATGTAAATCAGTGATCAGTGAATTAGTTCTAAACTAAACATCACATTGCCCATTTTATTTTTATTGTTACTATTTAACCTGCTGCTAACATGTCTCATGTCCTTTGCAGGGCTTGGTAAGACCAAAATAATGTTTGATGTATTCTACTTATCTGTAGCTACTGTTTATTGTTGTCTTGCATGTCAGCATGTAACAAAAGTAGGGTTTGTGCTGTTGCTTCATGTCTGCTGTTACTGCACTGATGTTTTACTGTTTCTGGATGTTTTTGCATGACTTATGTTTTGTTTTTGAGAATTCTTCTTTTGTTGTTGTTTTTATAGAGTTTCAATGTACTTGCTCTGTATATTAAAAAAAAAAGAAAAATCATTTTTAATGTTTCAAAACATCTTGCTGAAGGACTGTAGTTGAAAATTAGCCAGTAGTCTAAAACTGGCGCATTTACATTAATGCTGACTTTTCATTTTTCCTGCTCTTTCAAGACTAGTAAGCTAACTTTTAGGTTTGTCTTTTGTTCAACTAAACCTAAATCGTAGCCCAAGTTTGCACCTAATCATTCCATGAGAGGCGACACATTGGGAATTAATTTACTGCTACCTAAACCCAGAATTTAGGGCTAACAGATATATGTATATAAATATCCTTTAATGATACAGTTGTAGCCTCTTATACAGTCAACATGGTTTTAGTATCTAAAGTTAATCTTATTCCAGCACCTTCTTTGGAAAACATTATTTCTGCGGTCTGGTGGCGCCCTCTTCTGTTCAAACCGAGAACTACAACAACACCACAAATTAAAAAGATGGCGGCTGCCACAAGGCTCATATCAAGGTTGACTCTGGTCACTGGTAAGTTTTTATTTTAACACCCATCATTCAGTGTGCATATCTAGATACAGGGAAGCGATCGGGAGGTTGTTTCTCTCTGCAGGGTTTGTCGTCAGTCTGTCTGTTTCCCTGTTTAAACCATTTAACGCTGATTATCAGCTGGTTTGTAAATGTTACCTCCTGAGTTACCTTGTGGACGTTTGTTAAAGTAGAGGATTAAACTCACTCACAGCTAGTTAGCGAGCTAAATCCTTGATCCACGACGTTTAGCAAAGTATTCCCACCTGGGTCTGATTCATTTCAGCAATTTAACCCAGAGTCAAAGTAAAACTGCCGACGGAGTCATACGATTGATGTGACGATTGTTTTCTGGATTCATCGTTTTGTCTATAAAATGGTTGAAAATAGTGAAAAAATGTGCCAATGTGAGTCCAAATCCCAAATATATTCACTTTACAATCCTATAAAACACAGAAAAGCAGTGACTGTATTTTTGTCTAATAAATAATTAATATGATTAATAAAAAATCAAGTATTAACAGTTTAGGATTAGTTTTTCGTTGACTTGATTAATTTCAGCTGCAAACTAAATGATCAAACCATATTTTTCCAAACGCCAATAAAGAAAGTTTTTTTCACTTGGTTACTGGAAGTTCACAATATTATACAATACACAACAAATACACAAAATTGAGCAGTTTAATTAAAAATGTTTGCAACATCAGTGGTTGTACAAGACCAAAGCAAAGATATGTAAATAGAACAAATTTCACATGGCATTCACATTAAACATACATCCAGAGAGGAGCTCCTGGCGCACAGAATCTTCCCTCTGAAACCATGAATCCATCAAATATTCACGAGGCGAGCTGCAGCGTTTGTCCTGCTCGGGGGCCACTCTGACTTAAAGCTGCTCTCTTCCCACCCAGGTGGAGGCAGTGGGATCGGACGGGCGGTGTGTCAGCGCTTGGCCTCTGAGGGCGCCTCCGTGGTGGTCGCTGACATCAGCGAGGAGTCGGCCAACGAGACCCTGGGGAGCCTGCCGAGTGACCTCAGAGGTCAGGGTCACATGGCGGCTGTGGTGGATGTGTCCTCCAAAGAGAGTGTAAAGAAGCTGGTCACAAGTATACAGGTGTGTAATACATATAATCCTGACCATATGTTCAAATGGATTACTGCACATTTTCTTTTTTTAATTTAATGTCCTCCTCTCCCTCTGCAGACTCATTACTTTCAGCCTCCCTCAGTGTGTGTGAACGCAGCAGGCATCACGCAGGACGACTTCCTGCTCAACATGGAGGAGGATCAGTTTGACAAAGTCATCCGGGTCAACCTGAAGGTAAGCAGCGGCGACACCCGGGGCCTTTAACATGGAGCGAGATTAGCGGGTTATACAGCTGTCTTTGGCCTTTACTCAGGTTTTCTGGTATCACTGGCTCAGCTGGCTCTATGCAGGTAATGCACACACCAGTGACAAGTAATACCTAGAATATAAAATATGCGGAAGCGCTAACCTGCTCCAGGACAGGTTCAGAGGATCCGATCAGCTCACTGGAAAGATGCAGTAATCATTCCTACAGGATCCTGACAGGGACAAAAGCCTTTACAATAAAGTGATAGTAATACATATACAGTGACATGTTACAGGTAAAGAGTAATATTTTTATAGGGCAGAAGAAGCATTTAGCTCTTCCAGGTTTTCCATTTCCACTTTTAACAAACACAGGCACAGTTTATAGATCTCTAAATTAAATTATGACGATTAAAGCTGTGTTTTAATTGCATAAAGTTTCTTTAATTCCCAACATGATTCCTGACAGTGTCGAAGTTTTTACACTCTCTTTTGAGAGGGAAAAAAAAATCCAGACACTGTTAATTAGCTCCCTTTATATCAGATAGACCTCATCAGACATTAACTAATTTTCTTCTCTTCTCTGCTTTGGCGGCAGAGCTTATTTATCTGTCTCACATATTTATAATAGTTTGTTCATCATCAGATAATAAAAACTCACTCTATAATGCAAACTGTATATAATATTTGGCACATGTAGCCTTATTTTTAATAGACGATTGAGTGAGGAAAAGTTATTTACATTTAACCTCATTGAATACAACATTTTGCTCTCGCTTTAACCAGTTCTTCTCATGGCTTTTCACTGTTCCTTCTCATTATTATTAAGTTCTTTGCTCTTAGTTGTGACGATGTTGCTTGTAATGAAGAACTCGTCGTCTCTCACATGAACACGCTCGTAGCTGGATTAGAAAACCCAGAGTTAACAGAGCCGGTTGATACCAGTTATCCAGGACGGCCAATGTTTGGCTCAGTGAAGCCAAAGAGAGCCGGACTACGCTGAACTTGTTTCCTGGTACAGGCCATATAGTTTTCACGAGAACCTGTTTCTGAAACGGAAACAGCAAAACACAGTGAGAGAGTCAAGTGTGTTTTACCCATGTTTCTTTCTTATTATCGATATATATATTTTTCTTGATTATGAGCAGTGTTTAGTTGAGAAATCTTTTAAAAGTGCCTCATTTATTTACTCTGTTAGCTGTTGATTTGACCAAACTGAAGCAGAATCCAGACTTTTCACTTTAAATGTTTAACAAATAAAAAATCACACCAGCTGAGAGAGAAAATATTCCTTGTATATTACACCAGGGTGACAGCTCTGCTTCAGTCTGCAGCTCTGTCTTTCTGTGATGTGAAATACTAAAAGTTACCACTGCACATTAAATGAAGACCAGAAAACAGAACAAAGTGTTTTATTCTCTTCCCTCCTGCATCTGTACCAGGGTTCATTCCTGGTCATTCAGGCTGTCGCTCAGGCCCTGGTGGCCTGTGGAGCACCCAAAGGATCCATTATTACTGTGGGCAGCATTGTGGGGAAGGTGAGATACCAGAAGGCCTGGCGGGCATCTCGTCTGCATTTCATTGTTTTAATATTGAACCAAAGTTGTTATCTAGAGTCATAACAATTAGTCTGATAGTAGAATTGCCCCCAACTGTGAGAGTTTAATGTTGTATTTTCACCTGTTTTTTAGTTCCCAAAGAGCTTCTCTTCAGTGGAGGCCAGAGGGACCAAATAAAATAAGTCAAATCCAAAAAGAGATGAAAATACAGTGAATAATTCTAGTAATTTTAAAGTTAATAACTCAAGTTATACATATAGAGCCTAATATACAAGATTAAACTTGAAGAAAATAATTTTATTCTTAAACACTATAAATGCCAACGTTGGTTGGAAGTATGTGTTGGATTAGACTTTGGCAGAGAGACCTGCAGTGATACAGTACCTAATGTTTCCTTGTGTCTGTGTGGTTAATGTCTGTAGGTGGGAAACATCGGACAGGCAAACTACGCCGCCTCTAAAGCTGGAGTGGAAGGTTTAACCAGGACGGCTGCCAAAGAGCTGAGCAGGTGAGAAGATGATGCACCAGTAACACACCACGACACACAGAGCTGATTCAACTTAAATGCTTTTCCTTCTCTTTTCCTGCAGGTTTGGGATTCGTTGTAATTGTGTGCTGCCAGGTTTCATATCGACTCCGATGACGGATAAAGTTCCAGAGAAGGTTATTAGCAAGGTACAGCGTGCGCACACACACACACACACACACAGGCAGACAGATTTATTAACACTTCATTTATCAGGAGTGAAATCACATGTCAGCTCTATCAAATATGAAGTTTATATAATCAATGTAGGCCTGTAGATATATTCTGACCGCTGAATACCAAGAATAAAATTATCAACATTTTGTGCTGATGACATTTACAATAAGTGAAACCATTTAAATAAATTTCAAGGTGTCCCATCCACAAATTATTATTTAAGCCGGGAAGGAAACATGGAAATTTCTGGGTGTGAATTAAAGTCAAAATAAAATGTAAACATTTCATTTTTACAAGCTATAATAAAGTAAACACCTATTTAAGTGTTTACTTGTATTTTACTACAGTTACTTTTACCTCCTACAAATATAATATGTACAACCTTTATTTATCCTTCCTTAATACTAAGAAAGTAGCAAAAAAACGTGGTAACAAGACAGTTTTGTTTTGTCTTCAGTGTAAAAAAGCCCCCTGCTCACAGTGAGGTCACTGGATTTTGACATCCTATGATTTTTAAAATGTTAGATATTTAACAAATCTTTGTTGTTGCATAGTGGCTGCTGAAGTCTTTAAACCTTTAAGACCTTCTGCATAACTAAATATTATCAGAAGTCAGCGGTAAAATGTTTTTTAGGGGATCCGGATTTGGTTGAACTGACCCTTTTTAAAATAATCTCCAACCAAATTAAACCTGCACAGGCAGTCCTGACTCTCTGCTCTGGTCATGAAACAGCGACGCCCTCCTTCACTCTGTTGTGTCTTTTGTGTGTCAGATGACGTCCTTGGTGCCTCTGGGAAGAATGGGTGAGCCGGCAGGTCAGTGAAGACGCATATTTAACATCACTTAAGTTGTTTTCACTGCAGACCTTCATCCTCATTTCATGGATTTTTATAAAGGAAATGGTGTGTTCTGTTCTCAGCTCATATTTCTTCTTGTATCTGATTCACCGGCTAAAAATGATTTTCCTTGTGGATACAAAATACTTTAAAATGTTATTTGGAAAAAAAAAACCTGTTTGTTCCTGTTTTTATTACTTCTCCACACCTTTGATCCTCCCTTCAGTTTGTTTCTCCTGTACAGTGAAATAAATGGGGTGTGGGTTGTAACAGTTACTATGCACGTGCGTCTGTTTCCAAGACTTCATCACGCTTGTCCTTCTTTTTGTCCTCTTGCTGTCCTTCTCCAGAGGTCGCCGATGTCTGTGCCTTTCTAGCTTCAGACGACTCTCGATACATCACAGGAGCCGGCGTCGAAGTGACAGGTACAGAACGATTCAGTTCTCTGACAGCCGCCTCTGTAAAAACACACTTTTCATTTCAATTTTAATCGGAAGTAAAAAATACCCCTCAGCTTTTACTAAACAATTTACAAATATTCTCTAAAAAGTTAAGTTTTAAATCTCAGTTTATGTGTCTGTCTTTGTCAGGTGGACTTTTCATTGGATAAATCGACTGTTCGTCACACTGATGAACACCAATGGGAGAGCAGTTCCTTTATAGTTAATTTAATTTGAAAAATTAAGTCATGATTACTGTTGATTTTATAAATCTGGTTGTAAACATGTACTGTAAAGCCACTTTTTGTGCCAATAAACACGTTTGTAATATTAACATTATATTTTAAGTCCTAAATGATTCCATTTTATTTACCGACTCGTCCAAACTCACTGAGCCGCTGAGCCGCTGAGCTCCTCTGCATTTCAAAATTAAATCTAAATTCTTGGCTCTTAAAATCAGCTTAGAAGCGGAAAGTGTTTAAGAAATCTTTAAATGCAGAAGGAAAGTTTCTTGTTTTCAGTGCAGCCAAGGCTTTTTTTTATCCTGTATCAGATTTCAAAGTCATTAATGCAGGAGTTTGTTTGTCATAGTGAGCTGTAGATTAGTGGATGTTGGTTCTTACAAGACAGGTGAACATGCAAAATGACCCACAATCCCAAAGGTTTGTCACATGTAATATTTCCATCACTGTCAAAAAACTCCTACAATGACACTGAATGACATTGAAAATGTCTGACAGATGTCAAAGTAAATCTTCTCCTTTAAATGAGTAATTTTTTTCTTTGCACTCTTGAAAGAAAGTTGCAAAAAGTCAACTATGGTTTAGGTTTGGAGATAATAAGATAATTACTTATGGTGCACAAAGTTTGTAATTACGTCACAAACTACTTGAAAGTAATGTACACGGCCTGAATGGTTTACTAAATGTAGTGGTAAGATGTTATGTGCACACCGTTTGTTCATCTTTAAATCTCACAGACAGTTGTTTTAAAATATGTGATATGTTTTTTCGTGATATATATATATATATATATATATATATATAGATAAACTGATGATGATAAATTAAAACATCTGCATTAAATTGAGGCGGCAGGAACTCCAAACGGCCACAAGATGTCGCTGTTTTGTGCAGAAATATATCAAACCAACAAAATCCACAATAGAGAAAATTATAAATGGATATAATAAATCTCAAAGACACAAATTAAATTATAACGTTAATTTGTTGATATAAACACTCCTTCATTCAGTAAAACACATTTAGCTGAGGGACGTGAAAGATAACCTTATGTTAACAGTTAAAACTTTAGCTGCACCCTCGTGTTTCAGTTCAAAATGGAAACAAAACTTCATTAAAACCTATTTTGTAAGCATCTCTATAGTAAAACAGCTGGAAGCTGTTAATACTGTTGGTGCTCCTGCATAAATGACCAGAGTAGCCACAGCTTGTACCTTCAGTTCCTACTGTTGTACGAAGAGGATGAATTACTAAATAATGCACACAAATTTTCAAAATATCTAGCTCTGCAGATTTAAATGTAACTTTCATGCTGGACAACATCTGTATTTTAATTAAAAAGAGAAGCGTGATTCACAAAGGAAACTATATATTTTACATTAATAGCTAAATATTTAAATTGAAACAGATATATAAGAACACAACACACAAATATAGAAGGTGTCTGTCTGTCTTTCCCGAAGGTGACACACAAAAACTTGCCTATGAAAAACCTGTACACTAAGAACCAGCGATGTTTTGTGGCCATTTATAGGCAAAGAGAACTTCTGATGACAGGGAAGAGAAGAAAAACAAGAGTCAAACAGCTCTTTTTAAAAAGATTATATATTACAGAAACAAGAATTTAGAAAAAAATTACTTACACACATTATAAAATAATACTTTTTCTCTTTTCAGCACCATATTTTTTATGTTGAAATGTTCGTCTTCAACACAATAAAAACAAACAAATATTTGAGGTCATTCTCTCTCTGGAGAATCTAAAGGTCAGATTTGTGAAATGTTTAGGTTTTGGCCACCCCGCCCCAATTTACTGCTATTAAAAACAAAAAAGACAAACAAATAAAACCAGAACCCTATAATGATATCACCCCATAGTCATCCGTGGAGGGCGACAGTTGCCCCCTCCCTCTCACAACCTTTCTCCTACCCGCTGTGGTCTCAGACAGAAATTTAAAAGATCAGAGGATTGCGTGACAATTTTGATAGCAATGACTCAGCAAACTGTTTCTATGAAGCATTTTAAAGCCCAGAGAAATAATAACCCGGAACCAATACAAACAGTAGCAACGACAAGGAAATGCTACAGAACTGGAGAGTCACCATTTAATCATTACAGTGGAAGCAAAATTTAACAGCACAGTACAGTTGATGAAAACACTAAAAAAGGGATATTACAATAAAATATGGCCACAGATTCTTTGGTTCTAAAAAAGGTGTTTGGACAGGGCGTGAACAGAAGCACCATAACTCAGGCTGGCAGTGAGTTTAACATGCAAGTCACCCGCTTCACTTGATCTTCAAGTGTCAGCTACAGGAAATAAATACAAATGAAAATATACCACATTTGAATGGAATATTTGGTGGTCCTTGTTTTTTTTTTATCTCAAAGCACCCTGTTTATTTTAAATAAATACAATAGAATATCACTATTTCTGTACAAATGGAATGTAATGCACATTTTCCCCAGAAAAAAGCTTCATGAAATTGTAAGAGAGACTGAAACCTTTATGCTTTGGTATAATTAGCACCTTGCCACACAGTTTCTTTCAGTAAAGCATGCGTTTTTATTCACTGCTGCAGGAAAAAAGGAGGGAACTTTGAATCTCATATACATATTTAAACCCTGATGATGATGATCTGTGCTTGGATGCAAAATCAGAAAAGGTGTTTTGGATGGAAAACAATAATCAAAGTACCCAGAAAGTGACTCAGTAAATACTGGACTGGTGTGTGGTAGCGACCCTGGTAGCCTGATTCACAATTTAAGGAAGAACCAGCCCTTTTAAAAAAGCACACGCTAGTAGCATTAAGTTTAGCACAATTTATAAAAATAATGGCTTTTAAATTCACTAATGTAAGTATCGACAGATCATCTTACACGCCTCACTTTGTCCAACGTTAACAAACGAACAAATCAAAGGGAGTTTCCTCTGTCCAGTTTGAAAAATAAATCCTGCGTCACACTGGACTCCGTTAACCTCGCTGTCGTAACACCAGGAAGATTTTTCAATCATCAGTTTGAGCTTTGAATCACATTTTTAGACTGTTTTAATAAAACTGCAAGGTGTTCATCACAAAGAAAATATTACAAAGAGTAGAAAATTCACATGGTGGCAGCTCGAACAAGACAAAAAACAGATCAATCAAAGACCCAGCAGGTATCACGAAGTCTTTTTACTCTGGCTGGAAACTGGTGGCTTTAATTCTTTGGTACCTTGTGATGTAAAAAGAAAAGAGCTGAGAGTCGCTCTTCAATGTGAGCAACATGACTGACAGGTTACTGGGCTTTTATTCAGTTTTTACAGAACTAGACGAACAGATGTATTAGCCCTTACTGAGGCGGCCCCAAGCTTTATGTCAGCCACAGCTGGAACATATGGCGTCATTTTCAGGTCAGAGTTTGGTGTCTGCTGTTTTGATCTGAGTTCTGGCTGGCAAGTGCAAAACGGATAAAAAAAGTTGATTCAAAACTTTAAATACTCCTCAACTTTCTATCTGAATGACTAAAGGATTAAACGCCCCACAGATGCCAAAGCTGTGAACCAGAACACATGATTTTACCTGCTGCATACAGAAGGAGCCTCTCGTCAGTCATGAGAGAGTGACCGCCAACCACGTTGCTCGCAGTGTGAAGGTGGGATTAAATAAATGGAAATAATGTCCGAGTGTGACCCTTTTTTGGGGGGAAGAGGAGGGGGAGGTAGAGCAGGTGAGATGAGAGGAAAAAAAAGAGAGACAGCGGGGAGGAGAGAAGAGTGAGAGGTGGTGGTGGTGGTGGTGGTGGGGGCTTCAGGCCTCAAGTCGCCGGCTTGCCTTTTTTCTCAGGCCGGCCCCCTTTTTCGCTGCTGGTAAAGAAAACACTGTTTTATTCCGAAGAACACTCTCCTGGTTTTTTCTTCCTTCCTCGCGATCGTGCGCTCCAACCAACGGTCTCCTCTCCGCGAGTTTAAAAAAAACAAAAACAAATTCTCTTCTCTTTACTTTTTTTTTTTGACGTCCATTAATTGTTGGGAGGATGTTGTTTTCCCCAGGCACGTACTTGAGTGTGAGTGCGTGTTTGTCTCACAACAGCATTTGCGTGTGTAAGTGTAAAGTGTGTCTGTGGGTTTGTGTGTGTGTGTGTGTGTGTGTGTTTCATATCATTTACAAGTTAATTTACAAATTACTGGGCATGTGGCGTTTATTATATATAAGTGTGTCTCTAAGTGCATGTGTGTGTGTATTTGCATGTGTTGTTCTTTGCATGATGTGTGTTTATGTGTGTGTGTGTTTAGCCTTGGAAACAGACAGGTCCCACTTCAAAGCCAAACTGCTGGTTGCTCTCCCCAAAGTCTGACACCTTGATATCCAGCAGAGGAAGATGCTCCACCTGTGGTGTGTTGATCTCCAGGACTGTCCTGTCAAAGCCCTTACGATACTGCAGAGAGAGACAGAGAGATGTCAAAAATTGGACATGGACACTTATATGCGGCATGACTGTGAACAAAGACACCTTTTCTATGGTTGTCGTATAATTTTACTTATGTTTATATTTTTGCATCATAACCCGGCATGTCAAAAACACCAGGGAAAGCGAGAATTCACAACATCTACACCTTAGATGAGGTTGTCTGGTCATCATTTGACCTAAGGTCTATGACGTCTAATCACAACGGGGCGGGGTATAAAAACAGCGCCGTCAAGTCGGACACATTCTACCTGCATAAGCTTACTGTCAGCTGAGATCAGTCTAAAGGTGGTTCCAACTTTGTGCAGCTGGAGAAAAGCAAGCCGCCTCGCTCCCGCGAGGTTTTAATGTCACGTGACATGGTGATGTTTTGTAGCGCTGGCGAAAGTTGGACACACTAGGAGACCTATTAAACTGCTTTTCCAGACCTATATTGTAGTTCTGTGACTCCCGTATGGCAGCTTTGCATGATTCAAAGTTCTTATACTGACTCTGCAAGCTGTAGATGCTCCTGTCTCTTTTTCTGAAGCTGTTACCAGGCTGTTGTTGTTGCTGGGCAGAACAGGCAGACTGAGCTGGTGCTATGGGAGCACATGCCCATATATGGAACAGCAGCTCCGTCTGGCTCCTTATTACGTAGAACAGAGCCGTTGGTAGAAAAAGCAGTTCAAAACATAGATTTTATATATAAGTTATAATGTTACAATTTCATCTGCCTGTTATGCTTTACCGTTCGTTACGGGCACCGTTAAATTACGTCTATGTTGTAGTTAACGGTTTTACCACTCGATGTCACTGTGAGACTAGCTGTAGATTAAGGTTAAGGTAGTTATCACCTAATCATAATTATTTCCTTGTATAGGTCCCTTTTTGTTGGTTTGTTGCTATTTTTAGCCGTTAGCCTCTTCAGTATTGCAAACGTTGAAAGAGAGAGAGACAAACTGATGACAAAACCGTAATAAACTGTTAAGAATAGTGCTGTTCACTGATTGGCCATGGGATGCGTAAACGTCATTTTCTGCGACACTGTTTTGATTAGTATGGACTTTACGCCAGAGTAGCTAAGATGCACCTTACGTCTCGGTGGTGCAACCAAACATCGACGCAACTAAAGTCTCAACCTAACTAGTTTCAACGTATTGCTGTTGTGTGGACTTTCCACCCTAACTTAAGGTAGAACTTACGTATTGCTGGTGCAACACGCTGCTGAGGTTTTTGCTCACAGGGATTTCTTATAAATACTTTTTTAAGTTTTGGCCATGTTTAACATGACCATCCAACATTATAACATTGTAGATAAGTCATAAAATGTGGAAAAGCATCATAGGTCTCCTTTAAGTCCAGCATGCTTTAAGGCAGCGCTGCATGAAGTCAAACACAGATATTGTTCTAGAAGCACACAGTGTTTTAAGAGTATACAAGGGTCAAGAATATCATCAATCAATTCTATGAGTCAGTGTAAAAGGAAAGAAAAACAAAGTTGCAGTGGTTTGGTTTCTCTTGTGTTTTGCAGCGAAAGGGAAGAGAGCATTATTTTGTCCTGTTTTATGTGTACTTTAGGTACATATAAAACATGGTATATCTATAATATAATATCTAAATCAGCAAATATTAATAGCACGTTGGATGTTTGTAGAGGAGGGTGGGGAACCATGAAATGGTATTACGTTATTAATGTGATGTATTTCCTGTTGAAACAGGCATAACACATGAGGGGTCAATCTGCAGTGGAAACCAATGAGTTTGACAGGAATAAAGGCACACTGTTGCTAATGGGTTAGCTATTGGATGGGTTATGTCTACTTAAGCATGTAAAGCGCTTTGTAACTTTGTTTTGAACAGTGTTAAATAAATAAAGGGGTTATCATTCTTGTAGTGCAGCATGGGGTCAAAGTTTTATAGACAGTTTTATAACACGGGCTCAACAGAGCAGAATTAGTAGTAAACTCACAGAGCAGCCATCGACCAAGGCTTTGATGTAAGGGTTGGTCTCGTAGCTAAGGGTTTCCTCGTTGGCACCCTGGAGGTGCAGCGCCCTGTCGTAGCTGTTCTTGGCGCTTTGGTCGGCCCAGGCCACTGAACGGTGGCAGTGGTAGGTGAGGTTCTGGCGGGCCTGGACGCTCAGGAGGCGCAGGAAGCCCAGCTGGACGACGCCCACAGGCTCGCCGTTCGAGTCCACGTAGGAGAACTGGGAGGAGGAGGAGGAGGAAGTAACAGGATGGGATTTAGAGGAAGGACATGAAGAGAACGAGGAGGAAAAGGAAGGAAAAAGGGGAAAGAAGGGAAAATGAGAGGAGTCAGGAAGAGAAAACAGATGGTAAGAACAAAATAGAGGGTAAATCAGTAGTAACAAAACTATTAACTAAAAACAGAAGAGTTACTAACCTTACTGCCAGTGGTGAACTTACTGTACCAGGATCCTGGAGTCTCTGTGTCCCACGAGCTCATCTTCACCTGCCACCAGAATTGTCCACATCACATGTTATAGTCAAGAACATTTAGTTAGATGTTCATTGTTTCATAAATAAATAAATACAGCTTGTGTGGGAACATAAGACCATTCTACACCAACCTGGAGCAAGCTTGTCTGAACCATTATATCACAGAGATCTTCTTAGTTTTATTATAAATGTGAGAAATGATGCCTTTCTTAGTGTCTTACTGTGCAGACCCAATTGGGAATTTTTTTCTAGAAAGTGGGCAATCAGAGACTGCAAACCTTCACAATACTAATTAGTACTCCTATTTCCCATCATTCCTGTCCCTTAAATGTTAAGTTTAATGGATTTTTAACTTGCACTTAGAAATTAGTGTTGGGAGATTTTACTTCACAGGATGTTACGGTTTTGGTGATTTGTTGGACTGACCGTGTTGATGCTCTTGCTGGGGTACAGACACGTCTCTGCTCCGTTAGTGAAATTACAGAAGACCTTGAAGGAGTCTCTGGAGCAGCCCTGGTTGGGGTCAATCCAGTATTCTCCTGCAGAGGGCGACAGAGAGACAAAGCAAGGTGGGAAAATCTTTATGTAATGTAGTTTGTAGCCTGATGGAGTGATCATTCCTCCGAGCAGGTAAACGTTTGATTCCCTTACCCTCTTTGAGTTCTGGCTGGCTGAGGTGCAGGTCTTGGCAGGTGCGGGCAGGGCTGTCCTTGGTGCCCAGAGGGAAACGCATGGCCTCGATCTCCTGTCGAAGGGAGTTGAGAGAGCCGAAGATCTCCTCCGTGCCTTCCCTGTCCATCAGGAACTCCGTGCCAGTGGCGTCAGATGCCAGCATGTCGGGGTCTGTGTCGGGGAGCAGCTGGCTGGCGTCGATCGAACGCTTAGACTTGGGGCTCCTCTGGATAGGCAGGGGCTGAATGACCTCGCCTGGTGGGCCCTGGGAAGCAAGTTTGTATTTTAATCAATGAAGTGACAATCAACAGTCGGGTGCAATGAGAGAGCAGGGAAGAATATAAATTACTAATTTCTTTCTTTCACAAAGAAAGGTGAAGTACTTACAGGAAGTCCGGGAGGTCCCTGTACACCCTTTTCTCCTTTTGGACCAGCTCCTCCCTAAACACAGCAGGAGGGGGAAAGATTCAAGACACATTACTGCATCAGATACTAGTCAATGCAACAATTTTCTTCTTTTATTGTGGTACAAACAATGTTGGGGTATACTCACAGAAGAACCCTTAGCTCCTTTTACACCTTGAGGACCCTGTGAAAGATATGACACGTTAGTTTAATTAGTTTAGTGACCAACTTTAAGCCTTTTACTGTTTTCACTAATTACTATGGTACTTAATAACATCTGGGGATGTGAGCAAAGAGATGTTCTTGGGATAAAGCAGTACAGGCACTCACAGGCAGACCAGGAGGACCAGCAGGGCCGAAGGGTCCGGTGGCTCCAGACATTCCCTGTAATAAAACATGAGACGCGTCTAACGTGAGAACAGTTTTCATTATTTTCAAAATGAATGTGGATAACGGTGGTTGAGCTTCTCTTCTCTAACACATGGGAAAGATGTCAGACTTACAGTCTCTCCCTTTGATCCAGCGGATCCCTGAGGCCCTGGCAGACCTCTGTCTCCCTTCTCTCCCTGCTCTCCTGGGGGTCCAATGAGACCGATAAGACCTGGGTGTCCCTTCTCTCCCTTGGCACCGGGGTCTCCACGCAGACCAAGCAAACCAGGAGGTCCCTGCAGGAGGAGAGGAGGGAGATGGTTGAGGAAAGACAGGAAAAACAGGAGATGACGAGAGAGAGAGGATGGCAGAGATGAAAATAAAAAGGCGTTGTTATCTTACAATAGGTCCAGGTGGTCCTTTCTGCCCTGCAAGTCCTGGAGATCCTTGCTCACCCTGAAACACAGTTAGGACACATTTATTACACAACGCACCAAGCAACATATAACAGAAACATATCAATGGTTCCTCATGACATATTGTTTTGTCTAATGGTCACATTAACAAATAGAAAAATAAATCAAAATCTTTACTGACCACTGATCCCGGGAGTCCTCGAAGACCTTCTGTTCCTGGTTTTCCTGGTGAACCCTGGGGTCCGACGGGGCCGGTTTTACCTGGGGGGCCGACAGCACCTGGGTCTCCCTGTAAATGATGACAAGAAAGATGATTATAAATGTTTTAAGAAGTTATTTCCTGTGTTATGTACCAGTATAATTTGTGTATCACAATCCCTAAGAAAGGCAAATGGGATGAGAAGTGGAAGAGAAAACATCACAGAGAAAGAGGAGAAATACGTTCAGGTTGCAAATGTTTTTCAAAATAAAAGCACTCATCCTGTGATCATTAATAGAATTTATCATCACCGGGATGTGAGACAGCGGGTTGGCTGGTACCATTTTTGTATTGTTTGCTATGAGTTTAGACTGAACCTTATCTATGCAGAACCACAGGGATCTCTGGACTCACCTTAGTTCCCTTCTCTCCCTGACGTCCCTCTGGTCCTCTTGTTCCAGCAGGACCCTGGAAAATAAAACATTAACATTAGAATCAGCGAAACAAAACAAAATATATTCTGGCATTTCAAATTCCACAATTTCATCAAATACATACAGCAACAAAGATAGTCATGTCACTGTATATCACATATAGGCCAATCTATTGAACACAACTGCCTGGACCATCTTACTGCAGCACTGATGCTGGACTACAAAGCACTTATAAGTAAAATGTTTCCTTCTCGAAGCACACAACACAGGTTGACGTGCTGGAACGTGCTCTTTGCTACAACATTTACCACATCCTATTTAGTACATGTATGGATGATGGAGAAATGCATGCATGACTGCCATTGTGCTGATCCAAACACTACTTGGTGGGACCAGGTGACTCAGTATTAAGGATGGTGACCTTACCCTCTTTCCAGGGGGGCCAGGAGGTCCGTTCTCACCAGGAGGTCCAGGAGATCCCTGCAAAAGGTGGCAGAGAGAGCAGACTGAGGACACGGAGCCATATTTTAAATAAAATAAAATATCTTTATCGTTGCATCTTTTGACTTACAGATTCTCCTGCTTCACCGTCTTCTCCTCTCTCTCCTTTGGCACCGTCTTGACCCTGAAGTAAAGCAGATCAGGGTTAGTGGATTTTCTTCTTGTTCAGTTAAGCGAAAATTGTAAGCTGGACTGAACCGTTAGCAGCCGTGCAGCCACATGCAACATGGCTTTGATATCTAACAGAATATATTGCTGATATGAAGTTTTAATTAGATCCTGACATGAATTTAAAAAACATAGATACTCACTCTGGGTCCAACCTCACCGGAGGGACCAGGATCACCAGGGAAACCAACAGGACCCTGAAGTCAGAGACAAAAACAAAACTCAAAACATCAGAGATCAAAATGTCCTCTGAATTTATGGAAATGAAAATAGGAGGAAGAAGAATTTAGAGAGAAAAACACTTCTTCCTTATCAAGTAGAATCTAAAATAGTCACTGATCTGCGTGGCCACGTCATTGGGTGTGTGTTTGTGTGCATGTGATTGTGGGAGTCATACAGGGTTTCCTTTGGGTCCGTCGTCTCCAGGTCGTCCACGGCCTCCAGCAGGTCCAGCAGTTCCAGGTTGTCCGGCCTCTCCCTTCTCTCCGCGCTCTCCACGAGGACCCTGACAACAGGAGTACAGAACTCTTTGTTAACTCGTGGAGGCTGTTTACCAGTCTGTAAAGGCACAACGTCCTGATATCTCAACCCACAACGTGTTAGAGAGAGTCAGACGCTCACCTTCTTTCCAGGCTCCCCTCCGATTCCAGGTGGTCCGCCCTCACCGGGCTCACCCTGTGGAGCGAACAGTATAACTTTTAGTTTTTTTTTTTGTTTTCTTTGGACACCATCATACTCAAAATATTGCTTCAATGTTGGCAAAAACAATCGTTATCTTTGCACCTTCTCTCCAATAGGTCCAGGATTACCTATACCTCCTGGAGGACCTTGAGGACCCTGAAAAACACACACAAAAACAATTCAGACAAAAAGAAAAAAGTTATTATCAGCACGCTTTTACTTACCTACCTAACAGTCCATGTTGCAGTAGTACAGTAACAGCTATTTGTGGTGTAACCCATGTAATTTACATATTGTGGTTATTTTAAAAATAATAGCTGTGGACACTCACATCAGCACCGTTAGGTCCAGCAGGGCCACGGGGTCCTGGGGGGCCTGGAGGACCCTGGAAACATAAACAGACTCAGGCTTTTATCATCATTTATGATTTCATAAAATAAGTCACTGAAGTAAAAACTGAAACTCACCAGAGGACCGACATCTCCCGTCTCTCCCTTCTCACCTGGTGGTCCCGGCAATCCCTGCAGGAGGGAGGTGAAAGTTACACAAATAATTAGTTTAGCACTTACACTTAAGCACTTAGCACAAAAGTGTAGCTCAAAACTATATCTAAATAACTAAAATAAAGATTTAACAGTGAATCTGAAGTGACTATTGTGGCTTTTCTTTTACCTGCAGTCCGATGGGTCCTGGGGCTCCTGGGAATCCTCGAGTTCCTTCATCACCTTTAGCTCCAAAAGGCCCCTGCTGGCCCCTCAGTCCAAGCTCTCCATCAGCACCCTGCACCACAGAAGAAGAAAAACCGAAATAAAGTCATAAGATAATTTACTCATGGTTGAATTTTCAATGTCTGAGCGTCTCATCTTTACAGTAATAATCGGTGTAGTGTTTGTGTAATTAAATTTCCATTTTGCTCATAATATTGCTAGCTCCTGTATCATACAACACAATTGTGGTTTTCTTAGGAACATTATCTGCCTCTTACGTCTTTTATAACCTGCTTTGTTAGTAAGAAGGACTGAGTTTGTAGTGACTAGACATATCTGGACAGGAATACACACAAACTCAACTAGCACCAAATGAAATCAAACTTTCATAAAATCGGGAACAAGTACAACCAATGGGCTGCAAACTGTCTGATTCTGTTTTCAAAGAGTTAAAGTTTGTACTTACAGCAGGACCAGGCTGACCGACAGGACCCATTGGCCCGGGTGGACCAGGAGGACCCTGCCAACAAACAAAAAACAAGCATATTAACAATAAACAAGACAACAAAACGGCAGAGAAACGGCAGAGAAACAGCATCGTTGGACAATTTTCACTCACACAAGTTAAATTCTGATAATTTCTAAGCAGATATAAATTTTAATCTGAGTCAGCATCACTCACATGCTCTCCTTTAGCTCCCTTGGCGCCCTTCTGACCGTGCTCTCCAACCTCACCCTGCATTGACAAACAAACATGACGTTACAGCAAAGACACGTTTGAAACAAAGCTTTTAAATAAATGACCGTCACCCCTGACAAAAGCAGGGAGGATGCTCAACTCCATAACCATATTTCACCGTACTAGACTTTATGACACATTATTCTGGATGATTTTTAAAGGGACGTGTTGGTGTGAAGACTTTAAGAGACTTTAAGAGTTACTGGCCTTGTCTCCGTCCTCTCCAGGTACTCCAGGTGATCCGGCAGGGCCAGGTAGACCCACGGGACCCTGCACGCCATCACGACCTGCCGGGCCAATAGGGCCTTTCTCGCCCTTAAGAAGAGAATTAATAGTTTATATTTTGTCTTTGACAGGATGGACAATGCACTACTGCAGATTTGACAAAATTCTCCAGAATACTCACAGGAACTCCCTTCTCTCCAGCGGGCCCAGGAGGCCCCTGAGGGCCCGGTCTGCCAGGAGGTCCAACAGGTCCAGCAGTACCAGCTTGTCCCCTCTCACCAGGAGACCCCTAGAAAGGTACAAAACATAAAGATAGTACCGATTACAACAGGTATTCATTAATTAATGCTTGATTCTTAAGTTCAATGGATTGAAATATACTATTATTACAGAATGAAACAATTTCATAATCACATCCTATAATGAAATATTCAGATGTTTGAAATATTAAAACCCACAAAGTGAACTGTAGCCAGATACAAATGTAGATGTATTTTTTCTTTCCATAAATTGAGTAAATTGAGTTAGGGTGCTAAGAAAATGAAACGTACAGCAGGTCCAGGAGGTCCGGCAGGTCCTTCACTTCCCTTCAGTCCTCCACCTCCCTGGAAGAAAAAGGCAAGAAGGGATTAATCAATAAACCTTCAGCTCAGATCTTTTTATTACTTTTATCCAAAGGTAAATCTACTGCGATCAAAGGGATCAATATAAGCTTAAAAATGGTGTCTTAAAACAACTGGCAGCTAACAGTATCTGCCTGGTGATCTATGCAGTAAATCTCTTGGTCGTACTCACAGGGGTTCCAGGCAGTCCTCTCTCTCCAGGGAAGCCTCTCAATCCTGGGGGCCCATCTTTGCCGGGGCCTCCGGGGGGTCCAGGGTCTCCCTTGGTGCCCTCTTTCCCTGAGGGACCAGAAAGTCCCTGCTCTCCAGGAGGACCTGGGGGTCCGGGGTGGCCGCGCTCGCCCATGGGGCCGGTTTCTCCTGATGGACCCTGAGAGGAGGGAGACGGAGAGGGCAAGAAGATGTTGGGAGAGGAAATAAAGTGCCAAGAAGGTAAGAGGGGACAGAGGGGGGCAGATAATTGAAAAGAGTGTTTGTTGTTATTAAAACTCATGTGATCAGTATTGAGAACATTATGTACTATCTTGAGGAAAACTCACCTGAGGTCCAACGACTCCGGGAGGCCCAGGTGGACCCATTTTACCTTGGAAACCCTGGAGGGGAGAAATTCAGTTAACAAGAAATCTTCAAAATACTGAACCTTGTTCATGCTGATGCATCATAATGTGTGTTATCCAGACAAACTCAGCTCTCTATCCCAATCTGAGCTTCATGAATACAGAGTAAGTGAAAAAGAAACAACTGTTGATGCGCGGATAGAAAATAATGATCCAGTCTGTAGTACATGACACAATAATGTGAACAGCTGGTTTAAGGGTCACAGCTGGAGAGGGAACAAGGCCAGAAATAAATCCAACCATTCCTGTGCAGATCAACTTTACTGATAACTTCACTAATACTCAGTTTACTCAGTCATAAATAAATCTTCGAGTGAACAGTGCTAATAGTGGCTCCTTCATCTTCACTAACCACATGATCAGCAAAAGCTGTACACTTTTAAGGTTTACTGTAGATACAATAGATATTTAAAGAAGGCTCGTTTAGGTACATAACTGGGGTAAACTAAGATTGAACCAACTACGACTGATGTCTCTTTTAATCCAGCCCACCTCCAAAAAGGTGTCAACAAATTATTTCTGATTTATAAAATCAACAGAAAATTGTGTAAATTTTTCATATATTTTTTCCACAGTATAAAAAGGTACTGGTGACTCAATTAATAAAAATAAATAAACTCCCACTCTGTCTGTTCCACTCCTGTTATATTTACTAAGTTATGATATTTTGGTCTCTTCGACCTTCATCAGGTTTGTTTTTTGAGTGCATGCATCCTAAAAGAAAGCCATGACTTGATTCAGGGTAAAAGTCTTAATATCATTGAACCAGTAAAAAATACAACTTACAACTTCTCCTCTCTGCCCAGGGTGTCCAGGCAGCCCGTCTTTTCCTGGTGGTCCCTGCCAGGAAACATTAATCAACCATCATATATGAATTAAATCCCTAACTCCCTACAAGAGGGAACATCAAACCAAAACCAAGACCATGTAGGAACAATGTACAACAATTTGCTAATGAAGTGAATATATACAGTATCAACAATCAGTCTGATATCAAAACATTTTCTTACAGGAGGTCCCTTCGGTCCGGGGAAACCATTGGCTCCCTGAGGCCCGGGCAATCCCTGGTGAGACAACATAACATATGGTAATGAGAACATACAAGAATACCCAGTAGAGCCATTCAGTGTATGTGAGCTCTGACAACGTGCAACCCAGCAGGACATGCTTTCCTGTAATGGAAATTAAGCACTCACCCTCTCTCCAAGAGGACCAGGAGGACCATCACTTCCTGAAGTTCCCTAACAGGCAACAATAAATAAACAACAACAACACAGTCAATGATAAATGTTTTGGATCACAAGTTATTGTTCTTTAATATTTCTTGCTCCTTGGGATGGATTTCACTCTAATTTTGATGCAAAGATCTAAAGCAAAATATGAATGAATCAATAGGAGAGGATGGAGGATGATCCAATAGGAAATCATTTTGTCTGAAATATCAAAATACTGTGTATATATATATCTAACGATATATGCTGGCTTGTTGATGTAAATCGATAGCAGAGTCTATCGAGTCGCTCTTCCCTATCGAAAAATGCTACCTTATGTGTTCCCTTTTCCAGTCCCATAAAGTTATAACTCTCACAGTATTATGACATCTTCTGTTTTTCGATTATTATAACATCATTTCAGGGGTTGTGTATCCTGATAGACTAATACAAATAATACTTCCACTACAGAGTCATTTTATATTGCACCACTACTCAGTCCATGTGTACTGAAGGAGGTAAGGAGCAAGTTGAAATACTATATTATGCCATTTTTATTTAAGATATCAGCGGTAGCGTATTCTGCTAGACTAATAATGATTTATTTTTTGATATTGCTGACGATCAGCCACTGTCTCGACGGCATGCCCAACAGCAAGGTTGCACATATTTACGTGCGTGGAAACAGACCACGCTTGTGGGTCACACACATGCGCTTTGAAGATTTGGTTTCATCAGTAGGAATATTTAATAATAACGACAGATATCATAACAATGACAAAACATGACCATCAACAACAATAATAATCATCAAAATCGTAATACTGGCACTTGCAAAGCTCCTCAGTACAATCTGGATAGATTCGCTGTGCAGACAAACCTTCGCTCCGGGTTTCCCGGTCGAGCCCCTCGGTCCTCTCTGCCCTCTGGGGCCCTGATGGACACGAACAGTTAGCACAATTAGCAAAAAGCCTTCATTTGTCAGAAACAATGCAAAAATGATGCTATCTGTGATATCGGTGGTGTTAAATGAGTTTTAAATCAGAGCTTAAAGAATCATAACAACACCGCATGAAAATGTTTAACTTCACACCTTGCTGCAGTGAAGTACACAGGACCATGTGACAGCACTGTTGGTTGTGGTTACAGGTGCAACAAAGCACATTTCTGACCACAACCAACTTGTAAGTGTGAAACATGCTTTAAAAAACATGCTTTAAGCTTTCTACCAGAGAGGGCAGTAAAACTCTGCTTTTCCCCCTGGTGCTAAGTTACTCTTTAATACCATGAGCAGACAAAACAGTTTTTGCCCATCTGTGCTCAACAGCTTGGGTGCAACAAAGGTGAAACACCATCATCGTCTGAGAAGAAAAGCTTTTACAAACTGTCTAAAAGGATGAATGAATAAATGTGAAATGGTACCGTTGGTCCTCTTTGTCCTCTTGGCCCTAATTTGCCACTAAGACCCTGAAAAAACAAACAAACAATTGCAGACTTGTAAGACAGAAGTGAACAGCACATCACTGACTTTATAACTTAATCTACAGAATCTTTCAGTCTAGCTTTTCTGTGTAGAGATAATTAACCAGCTACATCAGTCCATCTCACTTGATCACTTCTTTAATCACGCATTATTTACAGCTTTAAGGAGCTGAATAGTCTGACTTGAGACAGAAAATCTTCCGCAGATCGACTTACCCTTGTTCCTTTCTCGCCATTTGAGCCAGGGAATCCGGGGAATCCAAGAGATCCCTAAAAACATCAGCACAGTTTCTCACCATACAGAGACCTAATGATCACTAGATGAATAAATGAGTCAGAGAGGATGATAAATGCTGTATGTGTGTTTCTCTTACCTTGGGTCCTTGTCTTCCAGGATATCCAGGAAGTCCAGGTACTCCAAGTTTACCCTGAAATCACATGGTGATGTCATTAAACATAATCCCTTAACTTGAATGGGTCATAACATCTGTAACTGTGTTTAAGTATTACCAACTTGCTAGACAAGAAATTGTATTACAAGCCGGTGATGATTTGTTCAAATTCAGAAATATTTGCCATAATATGAAGGGTAAATGAGAATTAGCTGATATTGTGCTCAGGTGTGCTACAGTCATATTAACATGGAATAAAATGTGTGGCAAAATGTCTCAGAGAAACTCAAATGTTTAGACACACTCACACAAAAATACAACAGAAAATAATGACACTTGTATGAAAATGAGATGTTTCATTAAGATATGTGTGATATAATTACAAAACACTGTAAATGTCATGTTTAAATATCACGTTCCACTCAAGTCCGTGTACAACCACAAGAGGGCAGCATAATGATATTTCCTGCCTAATGTATCCTCAGAGAGGAGGCCTTAAGAAAGTGAAAAATATCAGCATTTGCAAAGTAAAAACCTAAAATCCAGTTTCAGAAGACTTTGATGAATAATACATAAAGAATGAAATTATGGAAGAATACTAGTAACCTATCTCATGTTACTAAGACACAGTCATGTAATCTTGTCCTGATTGAACAGGTTGTACCTTCTCTCCAACTAGTCCAATTGGTCCGATCTCACCAGGGGGTCCGACGCGACCCTTTGGCCCCTCTGGACCGTCCTCTCCTCTGGGCCCTGATACTCCAAGCTCACCCTGTGAGCAGTACAAAGCAAAACCATCACAATAAATCATCGCAAATATCTCTATAGAGTAAGAACTGTGAAAATATGATAAAGATATAAAATAACAATGAATAAATTAATCAGTCAATCAATTATTGATTCATCCATTAATCATTCTATTAATGAACTGATCAACCCACCAGTTGCTCCGTCTATCTTACCCTCTCTCCCTTGACACCAAAGTCTCCCTTAATTCCAGGGAAACCATCTTCTCCCTAGAAACACGAGCAAACAAACATACAGTCAGCAAAAGATATCAACCTTGTTTTTTTATTTGGTTTTAATGTTGACAGAAAAAAGGCATATACATGTACAGAAATACAACATACACACCTTCACTACCCTAACCTTGTTTGTTATTTAAACTCAAAATGAGACAAAGACCTGTCCTGCTTTTTCTAACCTTCTGCTATTGTGAGTAACTGTTGTATGTGAACTAATAATGTACATATTATCCTTTCTTTACTATGTAATTGTGATTTAAGAGAGCGTATTTCTTGAGTGAGTGATGTATATTCAGAAGTATTAAACTGTAATGAATCTCTTACCTTCTCTCCCTTGTGGCCCTTCAGCCCACGGATTCCTTGACTTCCCTGCAAATACAGCATCACATAATCAATACAGCGATCTCCTAAGAAATATTTAGGTCCACTGTTGGTTTTGTTTATTTGCACATGCAAAGGAAAAGGCCATTTAGACTGTGCAAACTGAGCTCACAATCAAAAAACCTGTTTGTTGATTTCACAAGACGAACTGTACTGACCTTGACGCCACGAGGGCCAGGATAGCCGATTCCTCCCTGGGGACCGTTGGGACCCTGGAGAAGGTCAAAGAAAGAAGAACAAGTTTAAAACACAATAAATAGCTTTAAGTAAATATGTTTGGTCATTTTCCATGCACAATTACAACCACAAAGACATACTTAAAGTAACTGTTCCAACAAATTTGTTAATAATGTTAATGTGCATTTGATCAAACTCTTTCAGATGTGATTATTCTGTTATGGGTCTTATTCAGTTGGTGAACTGAGTTTGTGAGATGGAAGGGATGTGGTATGATGGGGTTATTCATGACAGACACCCACCTGGTTTCCTTTGGTGCCAGGAGGCCCCTCCTTTCCTGGGTGACCCTGACAAGGGGAGACAGAGAGTTCAAGCCTCATGAAGGACACCCAGTGTTGGTGGATTAAACTTACTTCACTTTTAATTAGAGAAACAAAGAAAAAACGAGAGAAAAAACGAGAGACAAACATACAGGAGGGCCGTCAGCTCCAGGCATTCCTGGCAGACCTGGTTTTCCTGTGGGACCCTGGTGGAGGAGACAGGGTGGTCGTGAGTGATAGTCCAGAGGGTGGTGGTATTTCACCTTAAACCTTTTGGTTACTGCCATTAAACATCATTAGAAGAACAACATGCTAAAAACCGTGTAGCTACAAAGCTGAAAGGATTCACCCACTAACAACAACACATGGACGACACTCAGGTCTGATTCTCCCGCACACAGAACTATAACTAAACGGTTGCGCTGATCAGGGGTCAGATACATGCTACAATTACATGATCAAGATTGTTTTAATCGCCGGAGCCGCTTTCTTTCTGTGACAGACAGAAGGATGTGTAATTTCAGTGTAATTGCGGAGGTACTTCAGCTGCCATTTTCACAGGGGCAGTGTTAAAAAGTGAGTTTTAGAGGTGCTGGTAGGTGGATTTGTTTATCTTTGGACAGAGTGGGTTGTATTCCCGTTTCCAGTGTTTATGCTCAACTAAGCTAAGCTAATAAGACGCTGCGCAGTAGCTTCATATTTAACAGACAGATAGAATGAGCGGTATCACTATTCACATGTGACTATCATACAAGAAAGCAAATTCATGTTTTGAGTAAAACTGCAACTGCACACAATAAAAGGTTGATTATATAACATATTTGTCAATTTATATTGAAAATAACAAAATGACTTATTATATTATTATAATATTGCCATTAGATTATAGAAAATGAAATATGTGACTTTCTCATGTACCAATAACTGTTAAAAAATACCACAACCAATATAACAATCACAATTTTTCGAAGAAGTCTCTCCCAAACTTATTTCATACTGGTCACTTTTGTAATAAGCTTCTGCATTATGTGTCACTCCAATATAATGTCTTTTTAAAAATACAACAAATACAACAAATTGGGGATGCAGAATGCTCCAAACGCTGTTTCACCAAAATAATGGATATCCAGAACACCTCAAAGGGCTTCCTCCTACATATCTCCTTCAGGAATGAAGATTAATTAGTAAAGTCAAATCAATAAGTTCAGCCTGGTCTATTCTATTGTATAACCGTTGCATGCTGAAATTATTTCCCTTAACAAGTTAACTTCCAGTATCTTGTGGTACTTTAAATGCGGAGTAACTTTATATATTATTGGTATCTTACTTTCTCTCCAGGGGGTCCGAGGGCCCCCTGAGGTCCTGGCATTCCCTGCAAAAAATAAATAAACAAACACATGAGACATATGATCAATGTATGGAATAGACACACACACAACATTTGAGTTTTCTTTTATTTGTGTTGCCATGTGTATGGACGTCTATGCTCTTTAGCACATAAATACTAAGTGAAATAACTTAATATATAGTATGTAGTATAGTATGGGATACTGGCGAGCTGTCCTCTGTCTCACCTGAGTTCCTGGAGTTCCCTGCTGACCTGGAGGTCCTGGCTCACCTTGCGGACCCTTAGAGACAGAAATAGAAGAAAGTGATGACAAATGCAAAGTAAACAGCAGGTCAGAGTGAAAGACAGATGATGAACAGAGACTTATATCACAGAATTACTCAAAAGACAAGTTTTGTGACACTAACCAAGTTTCCCTTGGGGCCGTGGGGCCCGTCATTTCCTCGTACACCCTGAGATAAAGAGAGAAGAAACAGAAAAAACTAAATGAAATTCTGAACAAAACTGATGTAAGCCATTCACAGAATGGATAACAATGCAAACACAGATGCACATACAAACAACTGACTCATTAAGGTAAAGGCTTCTATCCAAAGATTTTTTTAAGACTGCAGTGGGATCTGAAAGTATCCTTGCCAGTGACTCGCTCAGTGACACTCACATTAAATCATAGATTGAGGTGATGATGCTAGTGTGTGTCTTTGATTTGCACCTAAACACTGCTGCTTGAAGGGGAACAGAGTAAGTAGTAGTATAAAGCCTTTTTGTCTGATTAAGTCCATCAAGTGATGTCACTTTATGGACTAAACATTTGAGTGTGAAAGAAAAAAACATCTGGGGGTGTGGAGTTAGAAATAAGTGATGTTACTGAACCTCTGTAGTCAGTTCATGCTAGCTTGAGGTTAGCAGCTAATGCTAAATTAGCCGTTATCGTCAACTAAACTGCCGTAGGTTGACTTGCATTATGGGTAATGTAGGTGCCAGGTTTTGAGAAGGAAGAAGAATGCGTGGAGTAAAAAAGATGATATCTCTGATTCTGCTGTTGTAAGAGTGCTAAATCTGGGTAGATCTTTTTTAAGATCAACCACTCAACCACTTTAGTACATAATGTGTACTGAGCGTCAAATGGATAGTTGGGACTTGGCTGCCTACATCCTGGGTGAAACAGGGTGTCTTGGTATTGTTCTGAGGTGATTGTGGGAAGATTACATGTTCATATTTAGATTACTGGATATCCCCGTCTTTATATCTGGTCACAGGGAGTTGTTTCAGGAGGTGCTGCGGGTGTTCAGTGGTCACAGAGGGATAAAACAATGCAGCTAAAATAACAGCAGCGAAATGTGGTTTGAAATTGTTTTTACTCACAGGAGGTCCAGGGATTCCAGGAGGACCTTTAGGTCCGAGCAAACCACGAGGTCCCTAAAGATACACACACACACACACAGAGGCAAGACAAGATCAGTCAGTAATCAAAGCTGTAAATTAAAAGAGCCTTACAAATTAAATTGTAGAATAAATTATAATGTAGAAGTTCGACAACAGCAATATTATCATCAGGACAAACTGACAGATGAATAGTTGTAAAATACAGATTTTTATACTGTAATGATTGTTACAGTTTGTTGAGAAATATTTCTAATAAACTATATGGACTGATTCCAATATTTTGGTAGATGGCACACCTCTTTTTCAAAAATAATATTTGTTTTGAAGGAAATTAATTTCTAACTGCTGTGATATAAAAACAAAGGGTTAAAATGGGCGGAGGAAAATTACTAAAACAAACTATAATTGGCTTCAACGTAATAAGATAAATCCAAGTAATTTCTTCCTCGTTTGCGGGATACGCGAGATATATATATATATATATATATATATATATATATATATTCAGTGCTGTTCATACTGTCATATTCTAGATACTTTTTTGATAGACATCCATTTCTTGCAAGTTATTACATTTTCCTCACATGTGTTGGTAATTTTTTGGACCATACGCCTGTGATCCTGACAGCACTTGGCTGCATCGTCTACCTGTCCATCACTGCCCCAATTATCTCTGGTATTATTGCCACGGTGAGAAACAGCAGGTGTGAAGGTAACATTAGTGATACAGATCAAGGATACACAGAGATGTATTTTGGGAGGTTTCTAACAGAGATAGAGGGGTGCATATACAGCATACAATCGGGAGAGACAAGAGGGACAGATTTAAATCAGCTGTGTTGTTGTGGAAACACTCACTGGTTCACCTGGGAGACCTCTGGGTCCAATGTCTCCGTCGTCTCCCTGAAAACACACACAGAAACAGGCACGGAAAGAGGCTGATTATTAACAGCTATGGAGTGACAGAATAACAGATGTTTTGAGTAGCGCCTGGAACCATTTCAAATTCTTTTCTCATATCTCCGTACCCTCTCTCCGTCTTCTCCTTGACTTCCTGGGGGTCCCATTGCTCCGGTGTCACCCTGAGGAGACGAAAGAGTGGAGGAGTGAGGAAGATTTTTTACTGCCACAACTACCACTGTACTAATATTTTAGTTATACATTGTGAGAAGTGTTTGTGACATTTTGATAGCGATTTGCTTTTGACTCACCCTGTGTCCTTTGTCACCAGGCAAACCAGGAAGGCCATCAAAGCCACGGTCACCCTGAAAGAGACACGCAGATATTACTGTATTGTAGAAGATGGCTTGATCACACTCATGTGTAGCCTACCGTGTTACACGTTGATCTAGTATCTAAGGACTGGTGGGATATTTGTTTAATTTAAGTTACTGTCTGTATGAATTTGCTGTCAAATGACACCGGTATTACATTTTTCATATAGGGTGATCAGTTCCAGGACTTTTAAAATGCCAGCCATATGACTGGTTCAGCTACTACTGGTTCAGAGTTAATTTTGATGACGTCCATAAAGCAATGACACCAGAGAGAAGTTACCTTAGTTCCAGGCTCTCCTGGCATTCCCCTGGCTCCATCAGCTCCAGCACGGCCCTGTTAGGAGTGAAGTACATGATGAAGATGTGCTACTGTACATGAGACACAGTTCTACGCTGGCTAAATACCCATGTTTTGTTGTTGAAAGGGCATGCTGGGCTAAGAGCGAGAGAATTTAAACATGACTATAAGAAAGCTCCAGATATGGGAATGAAAGATTCTTGAAGTGTTGCAGGAGACTTGTGAAGGTGCAGTGGGATAACACATCTGGTTAAAACATTTACATCATTTACTACAGAATATACTACATAGAAGCAATATACTACAGCAGCCCCTAAGCCTTTCTGAGAGGCAACACTTGCGTCCTGAAAAACGTAACAGCTTGTGTACTTTGAGTTAAACAAACAAAAAATAACCACCTTAATAAAAAAGCAATGGCAAGGCATTTTTTATACTCACTCTTCTTCCTGATTTGCCTGGAGGTCCCAACATTCCCTGGGGTCCCCTGGGGCCCTGAAAAATAAATTTGATGTGATACATACTTCTTATAAATCTGAGCTGAGTATACTATAAGTTCAATAATAACGTTCAAAATATTGTACTGTGTAAATACATATTTTGACATACAACTTATTTAAATTAAATGAATTTGATTTTGATGAGAGGTCAGAGATCTGGTTTGTCCCAGTAAGTGTTTTTACCTGAGGACCAGGGTCTCCACCCTCTCCCTTTAGACCAGGACTTCCTGGATTTCCCTGAAACACACAAACATTATCACCATCATCCCCAAAACGTTTTATCCTTTAAAACCCCTTAATGATAAGAAAAGAAAAAAGCTTATAAGAGACATATTATGAGATAAAAAATGACAGATAACATACCAGAGGTCCTGGGCGTCCAGTGAAACCCATTGGGCCGGAAGGTCCTTTCAGAGCCATCTAGAGACAACAACATCTCAGAGTTTATCATTATGGAGGCAAACGGCTACTTGTAAAGTCTCACTCATTATACGTCTCCCTGGATGAAAACATCAGCTAAATGTCTAAAATCAAGATGCTATAAAGTCAGAAAGTTGATGTAACTAGGTTTTCTCTTATATGTTTGTGTTATGTACATGTTATGTCTTTTTTTGCTGTGTATTGTATTTTGTTTTGTGTTTGGTGCTCACTTCAATGAGTAACAGTCTTTTTCAACATCAATAACACAGAAAGTTTACCATATAACATTTACACAAGCATTATTATAGATCTATTTACACAAAGTCCCTCAAAGTCTGTGACAATCTCAGGCAATGGCGAAGCATCAAGACTCTGATATGATCCTTGTGGCCAACTAACTGCACAGTGGAAATGTAAAGTAATAATGATGACTGACCCTGGCCTGAGACAAGATGGCGGCTGCCTGGGCTTCCTGTGCAGAAACGACAGGACCCTTATCTCCTCCACTCTGCCCAAAACGGAACTGCAAACAGAAAAGAAGAAGTATTTAAGCTATGTGAGTGGATACTGTGCCTAATGAATGGTAGGTGGAAACGGTTGTCAAAAAAAAAAAAAGGCAATTACTAAGGCCTAAGGCATTACTTTAAAAATATGTTAGCAGGTCTATAGACTGTAGCTGTGATCAGCAAAGAACCTCCAACAGGTACGTGCACTGAACATACAGAACATCGAACAAAGGCTAATGTTAAATCTTAAAGGTTTCTACAAATATCACTCAGATTTATGACGATTTGGACAGTTTCCACTTCTAATAACGGATTAAAAGTTAGGGGTGACTCACAGGCAGCATGACTGAGGTTCCAGGAGGTCCAGGGACTCCATCAGCTCCAGGCAGACCAGCCCTACCAGGAGGACCCTGCAGGATGGAGAGAGGCAGGGGTGAGCTGGCAGGTTCAAGGAACGAGTGGAAGTGAAATACGCTTCTTTTGCAAAGCGCATCTGCAATGACCATTAATGTCTCAGGATCATCTGAGCACAGATTCACGTCTTCAGGTAAATAAAACTCACCCTCTCGCCAGGGTCACCGACAGACCCAGGAGGTCCAGAAGAGCCGGGGGGGCCAGCAGGACCCTGAAAGAGGTGGGGGGACAAGTGCTTGAGTATTAAAGACTCAATTAGTTGGTCATTTTATGTCAGTGTCAGGTGCAGATTGACTGTAGTGCTGCAGAGGAATATCCTAAACACAACATTCAAAGAATAATGTTAATTGTCCCAACCTTGCAACAGAGAAGTATAATGGCAAAGGTGATACTTAGTGTTGGCAACAAGGAAATTACTACCAAAACATACCAAAAACACTTAAAAGTTCAGAGAACAATGGTAATAATCTAGAAGAGCCAACAACAGGAGTATTGCTATAATATTTAGTAAGTAAAATGTCTTTTGGATCATTTACTTACAGCAGGTCCCTCAGGGCCTGGAGGTCCTTCAATCAGCATACCCTGCAAAAGTGAAAATACACATCATTACTTCATTCATCAGACTCCTCTGGTTTTGTGAGATAAATTTAGTTTGTTTGTAATGTAGCTGCATTTAAGGTTAAATAACTTTCAGTATTTAAAATTTGGACTGAAATATTCACTAATGAAAAAAATCTGTTTATATAACAGACAGAAACGAGTTGAACGGGAAGTTGACAGCTGGTCAGCAGGTCACAGACATTTATAGTGGTTCATTGACACCAGTTTAAACAAACATGGAACCTGCTCAGGTAAATCTGCTTAGAGACAATTAGTAACTCACAGGCTCCAAGACAGCGGGTTCTCCCTTCTCTCCTTTCTGGCCTCTGATGCCAGCCTGAGGAAAACACACATGTAGCCAACAACACAGCACGGTCAGTATAGAGGCACTCACACACACCCACCAAAAATAATAAAAGATGCTGAAAGAATGAATACGACAGACCACAGTGTCTCACATAAAGACGATCACATTTGTTTGCCATATTATATGAAACACTATAACGCCAGTGTAGAAAATAAAGGACAAAATTAAAACATGTTTTTTTTTTGTTTTGATAAAAGCATATTCTTTCCTCCAAATATTGATGATTCAATGGTTCTCCAAAGCGCTGGTCCATTACATGTAAAATGTTTACATAGATACAGAGACTTATCTGGGCTTAGCAGCTCTAAATTAAGCCATACACTGAGATAAATGGCATTCAAGACAAAAGATGCAGCAATTGGTTACTGCACTTCCAAATGCCTCTTTATGTAGTGTATGTAATAGTTCAATATACTATTTATGTCTATCAGGATCCCTAATAGCTTCTACCATGGTAACAGCTATTCATCCTGGGGTCCTGAGCTGCTCACTATTCACCGTACAGAACAAAACCATTTTCAACCAGTGGTTTGAGGACTAGTTCTTGGTCCTTGAAGTATTTGAAATGCATTCAAACACACGTTTCTCTGTGATTGATTGAGCTTGCCTGACATACAATTTAATCAGTGAATAGACCTTTCTTGCATGGTGGCCATTCTGAAATGTACCATTTTCACACTTTAGCTGGGAAACTACAATGGTGCTTTACCATTAGATAAAAAACCAAATGAATTACGGGCCAGGGTTGAGGGTAAGATTCTGAGAAATCTTTTTTCCGTGAAGTTTCTTTTTTCCGTGAAGTTTTTCTGTTTGAGTTTTTCTCTTAAATAATACCCTCCTCCGGTTTGTTTTATACCTACAATGGGCTCTAATACGGTGTAGTGATACATAAAATGAATTTAAGGGTAGACTGATGGTTCATTTTTAAGGTCAAGTCTAAATAGGTAACTATTCTCACAGTTTATCTAAACTGATTTTTATCACTTTTAGGTGTATCTGAAGTTCACACTTATCTGTTAAAGTGAAGGTAATTATGGTTACATTCTCTCTCCAGTCTTTATTGTACAGCTTTCTGCAGTACCAAGTGTGTTCAAATTGGCCACCATAGGGAAGAAGGTCAATCGGTCCCACAATGGGAAATAACTAAACACACATTATAAAGTATGTCTCTCCATCATCGACTTTGAGAGATGGCAAACTCAAACAAGTCATTTGAGAGGACACTGAATACAATTTGACAAAGACTAGGATTCAGAGTTGGTTGAAACTGATTTTGTTTGTTTGCCTTGGAAGCAAAACGACTTACGCCTCCCTCCTCTGTCACGGCGGACAGGGCGGGGCCCATGTTGGCATCGCCGTCTCCCGTCTCCTGTAATGGCTCATTGTAGTCCCTGTAGGAATAGTCGTATTCCTTAAGGCCAACGTCCCCAGTTACATACTCCTCGGTGAAGACCTCCTCGTCTACACCGCCTGTCTTGGTGGCATCTACCTCTTCTCCCACCAGCACTGGCTCCACCTGTGACTGGGTTGGGTTTATCAGAGCCGCAACGGGATAGATAGAGGGGCAAGAGAGGATGAATCAAGCAAAGGAAGATAAAGATGCAAGAGGGAACAGTGAAAGGAGGAGGGAGAGATACGTATGATGGGGAAATGTTAATAAAGGAAAGAAAAATATAGAAGGAAACAACAGGGGGAGTGGAAGAGGGGGCATATATACAAAGAAGTGAGTCTTACCTCTTGCAAATAAACAGTGACACAGGGACAGAAAAAAGACATCTGGCAGTCTATCAGTCCTCCGTACTGTAACTTCAGTCTGATTTCAGGTGAATTATGGATAAGCAGGTTAATCCTGCAACCTTAAATCTTCTGTTTAGATAGTATGTTTCCACCAAAGCATATCCTCATCAGCGTGTGTGTCATGACCTGTAACCAATTGATTTCTCCAAATTTGCTTCAAAATAGTATCTGACATAGTAACAGTTTGGTTTAAAAAAGAGAGAGAAAGACACTTTTATTGTTAAGGTCATGCTTGGATAACTCCTAAACACACAGAACTGATATGAAGCACTTTGTGAAAACACGTTGCTGATACGTGATGTGCTATGCAAAGCAAAAACTATGTTATTTTCTATTTTACTTACCATGGGTGTTTAAAAAACAAATATAAATCCAGTGGAATTATGCTGTACTTGCATAAAAAGGTACAAATAATTTAAAAGGTGAATACATCTGAAACACAACAAATTGTGAATTATGTGTATATTTGTCCCTTAAATATAACATAAATAATTGACACATTTTTCACCAAAACAGTAGCATCAACATTGGAAAACAAAACAAAGTCATCAAAGTCAGCTAATACAGATAAAATGGTAATGATGACAATATGGATTATTGCCAAAATACGTGAACTGTGAGAAACAGATCAGAACTCATTCTCAAAGTCTGATAGTTCAGGGCTGTAAAGTAAGCCACTGTATTCTTTAGTTCAGTTAAGATTTGTCTCTCAAACAAGAATGCATTATATTCATCTCCCTCTGTTGCTGTGGTTAAAACTGCATATCAAATATTCATATGCGGATCCCCTTTATCCACAAGACTTTTGTTCTTATGTCAAGATCACAACCTCGTCAACTGAGGAGCTCGAGATGAGAACAAAACGGGAATCTTGTTGTTAGGGAAAAGGGAAGCCACACAAAAATGTTTGATGATACAAGCAGATGAATGTGGTGCATTCTGTTTTGAAAAAGGTTTTCTCTTATGTCTTGTTACGTGGCATCGGTGCCAACAAAACACTGATGTGTGGTTAGCAAAGTATAGAGAGACACACAGTTATGACTACTCGGTTAAACTACAAAGACTGGGCTCACCACCGTACAGGTTCTACAGTGTCTTCTTCTTTAGGTGATGGAAGTCTCTTTTATTAAGGTGATGATTTATCCTTTTTTTTTTTACTGGAAATTTGGCGTTTAATTTATATAAAGGCTTATTTATTTTGTCGGTCTTGTGTCTCTGATCAGCGTGTCATTTTCTTGTTACCTGTACAGGGACCTCTTCTTGTCCAATCACCTCACCGTCTGGCTGTGGGACCGCCTCCTCATAGTAATAATCAGTCTCTGTAGGGGTGTGGCCAGCCTCGGAATATTCAGTGTCTACATCCTGATTGGTCAAGTTGACAGGAATTTGGGGAGCGGGGAGGAGGTAAGCAGATTTCATTGGAAGAGCGTGGTTAGTTCAAAGTCTGCTTGTAAGTGATGATGAGTTAAAAGAAGAAAATGGAACACATCATAAAATTGCGGTCGCCAGAGGTGAAGTCGTTCTTACTGGCAACTCACATTTTTAAAGATCCATTTTAGAAAAGAAATTACAGGAAGTTTATGAATCTCAATAACTATAAATTTTGCCATTTTAGCAAGATTTAGGGAGTCATTGAGACTTCTTTCCTGAGATTTCTTTGTATTATATTGTCGAACAATTTTTGCTTTTTTAAAGCTCACAAAGCCAAAATTCATGAAAGGGCGACGTCTGCTCTTATTGGAAGTCGGACTGAGAGCCTCTATCCATCCCTTTAGATGAAAACATCAAAACTTGATGCTTTGGGATGTCTAGTTACACCCAAGACCAGAAAACAGAGAGACAACCCCAATAAACGGCCTCACAGAACTTAATTCAATGTAACAGTCAACGTGTGCTATGGATTTTCCAGAACCCACTAATTACCATGAACATCACAATGTCTCTCTACCTTGAAGCATGTCAGCTTCACAGTAGACTACACATTGCATGAAATTTCCCTTTTAATGACAGCAGCTTGCTTTTTAGTTTCTGTGAGGCTGCTTCAATCATATTTGATACAGAATATGGCCAGAGACAGGGAGACAGATGTCAAGAGAAAACACAGGTACTTTAAAAAAACAAAAACAAAGAGAGAGAGAGAGAGAGAGAGAGAGACAGGGGAGATTTGTTGTGTTGCTTGTGTATAGAATGTGACAGTATTTGTGTTTTCTCAGGTTTAGTTTTTGTGCCATAGAAATCCATGCTCATTCATTTGACCGTTAATGATTTCCCCCGAAAAAAAGAAAGAGACGGAGTGCTGGAGTGTATTCAGGTTCTGAGATCCAGTTTCAGCAGCTTGAAGGTAGGAGTATGAAGTGAAGTAAAGAACAATGAAACTGTACAATTAGCCATGCTTCAATGCGCACCGCTGTATCATATCATATGGAGAAGTTGGGGTGATCATGAAATGATCATATGATATATAAACAGAGGACAAGGCATCCAGTTTGGTATGAACCAACTTCCACTCTGAAGACCAGATTGTCCACCATCAAGGATTTACCCCAAAATTTGCACTGGCAGCCACCTGAAGATCAAACTATGCATAAAAATCAAAATATTCAGTTTGACAAAGATTTTGGTGCAGACCCTGGATGGTGGAAAGACCTGGCAACCAGGTGGGACAGATGGGACATACGACTCTGGACATTTCGACCCAAACGAGGGCCCTCCTGTTGTACCTGTTGATAACCGTTGGTCATTTTCTTTGCTGGGACTGTCGTTCCACTCAGTGCAGTCTTGCCAAAGGGTGGGAAAGGTCTGTGCTGGGATTTGACATTTGTGTCCAGCACCAACTTGGATTTCGTGGGTCTTGGGGGAGTGGGCCGGACAGGGGCAGACGTTGGAGCCACTTTCTTTGTGATGGAAACCTTTTCGACCACATTCTTCATAGCTTTGCTCGGAGTTGATTTGACCAGAGGCACTTTGGTGACCACAGTTTTAACTTTGGTGACCTCTTTGACCTCTGCCTGTTTTGTTGCTGGAGCTTTGGTGGCCACAGCCTTTGCGGTTTTTGTAGGTTCAGGTTTAGACGCTTTTGTGGGTTTAGGTGCCTTAGTAGCTTCCACTTTGGTAGCTTTAGTCTTTTCTACTTTAACAACTTTCTCAGTCTTTGCTTTTGTAGTGGTTTCAGTTTTTGCCTGATTTGCTGCACCATTACTAACAGCTTTCTTTTCTACCACAGTAATTACTTTGCCATTCCCATTAGCCTTGGCATCGCCATTGACTTTATTCTCAGCTTTGCCATTAACTTTAACCTCTTTAACCTCGAACGTAGTTTTGCCATTTCCATTAGCTTTCTTCTCTGCTGAAGCTTTGCCGTTGCCATTTCCATTAGCTTTAGACACAATGGTGGCTTTTCCATTTCCATTGGCCTTCTTTTCTGCTGAGGATTTTCCATTTCCATTACCATTGACTTTCTTCTCAGCTACAACCTTGCCATTGCCATTTCCATTGACTTTGGCCTGAGCTGTAGGTTTGGCATCAGCTGTCGGTTTTCCATTGCCATTCGTTTTTGCTACAGCTGCGTTTCCATTGCCATTGCCGTTGGCTTTAGTTGCACTATTTGCTTTCTTCTCAGCAGCTGGTTTACCATTGCCGTTCTTAGCTGGGGCAGCTGTGGATTTAGCTGGTGATGTTGGTTTGATCTTGGACAGGAGACTCTCTCCTACAGTGGACTTTGTTTTGGATGGCTTGGCTGTGGAAGGCTTGGGAGCTTTGGTGGGCTTAGGCGGCTTGACTACAAGTTTGTATGGTCCAGTTTTGGCTGGCTTAGCTGGAGGGGGTTTGGCTTTGACAGGGGTGGATTTAGTGGGAGCTGCTTTTCCATTGACTGCCTTCTTCTAATCTCCATGATTATTGTTTTGTTGACATGTTGTTAAGTATGTAAAAATGCATATTGGCAAAGACAGGGAGAGAGTGGTGGAAGACAATGATACATAGAAGGGTTGGGTGGGGGATGAAAAGCACAAACAAGGGATGGACAGAAGGAGAGAGAAAGACAAGAGTGGATGTTTTGAGAAACAATGACATAAAGATGGCCAAGGCTTGGATGATTTACTGAGACTGTACAGGCATTACTGGATACAGCAGAGGATTCACACAAGTTTTAAGACAGTAAGCAAAAATACAACTGAAACAAATACCAGTACTTAAACAAATTTAAAATCTTTGATCCAAGTTACTTTGAGTTTTTTGCTGATCTCTCCAGTAATGCCATTCCCAATATTAAATGACAAAGCAGCATCTTTGTGCTAATATGGAACTGGAGCTTGTGGTTTGGCAGAGGCACTGAGGGTGTGACAGGTCTGGTTAAGCTGGTGCTGAACACATACACACTGTACAGACATACACATCACTGATGCACTGACCTGCTGTGCTGTTTCTCTCTCTCTCACACACACACACACACACACACACACACACAGTTTATAATGCACTGAGCAGTCCAACTGCAAGACAGAGAAGGTTACTGCTGTTTAGCCATGCAAAAGAAGGAGCATGGACGCCAGGCTAGCATGCAAATGCACATTAGTCACATAAGAACACAAATGAACTACTCATGCTGCTACTAAGAAAACACATGCAAATTAACATTCTAAATAAAATGACAATATTTCTTGCAAAAATATAGTGTGAAGGATAAACTGGCAATCACCATAAATATAAACTCCACAAATATGCAATACAGAACACAAACAGACTTAAAGGAGACATACATACGTCATGCCATACAGAGGTCTGGTGAACAACCATAAATGCATATAGCAAGACAAAAACCAGGTGCAATGATATTCCCATGTTGACTGGAACACTGGTATGGAAACTTTAACGCAGGAGTACAGTAGGTGCATGCGGTGATATCCTCCAAGACAATATAGAAATCATGCAAGTAAAAAGACAATACAGACACATGCCCTGGTCAAACAGTATTGTAAATCTGCAAATTTGTGATCAACTGTGAATTTAAATAGGTGGGGTTTATCATAAAATACTGTGCAATGAGTGCCAGAAACTGCATCCAATCACAGTAAAGCATTTAAAAGTCACTTTAATTATGCTTTTCTGTGATTAGCAACTTAACACCTATCTATCTTATTTACAAAGAGTCCGTTTATGGTACACTGGCACATTCTTATGTGTTTCCTATGCTAAGTTTATCAATCAAAGACAAAACACCCACTCATCATGTAATCCATTGGTTTGATATGGTAATGTCAGCGGATCCACAAATTCAGAGATCAGAGATGATATTAAGAACGTCCTTGAGGGTGTCAGAGATTGTTTGCGTTGTGAACTTTCATCCAACATTTTTCCATTACGGTCCATTATGTGCTGAGAAAGTTCTCTGACACTTATTTTCTAAACATGAACTTGTTCCCGTGCCCTCAAAAGGTTTTCACTATATTTGGGAGAAGGTTTAGGGCGGAACTGGATGGGATATATGATGAAAGAGAGACGAATATAAGTAAAAAGTGTGCATGTGTGTATGACAACACAGCTGCACCTATACCACCCCAGTGCCGCCACTTGGCCACATCTGAACACACATACATCTTACAACATGTAAATGACATGAGGACAAAAAAAACAACAAGGAGCAATGGTTATCCTGCGTGACGGAGACTGTGGAAACGAGGTGGATGCGTGAGAGGTCAATGTGGATTAAAGGAGAGGCGAAATGTGAATAAAACAAATGAGGTATGGAGTGATGAGCGATGAGAGAGGCACGTGGAATGCTAAAAATACAAATGTAGATTTTCAAACAAATACTTTCGGGAATGTAAGTTCAGTTTACACTCAATTATTTAGCAAGCTAAACCTATCTTATGAATTATGCCTCAGTTATTGCTTTAATAGGTCTCTCTCTCTCTCATTCTCCTTCCCTTCCACAAACCCTGCTTGTGTTTTCCGTCTCTCTTGCTCCCTCTTTACCTGTTGATTGGGAGCCTCAGGTTGGGGAGAGGAGGAGGGAACGCCTGTTGTTTCCTCATAATAATAGGGGTATTCATGGTCATCCTGCTCCTCATCAAAGTACTGAGAGAGATGGGGGGATGGAAAGATTGAAAGATGGGAAGCGTGGAGGGAGGGGTGGATGGGTTGGCAGAGGGGAGGAAGGTACATGAAAGCAAGAGGAGTGAAAGGAGAGGAATGCATGAAGAGGGGGAGAGTGGATTTCCAAGGGGAGGTGAATAGAGGTTGCAGAGGACACAGAGAGATAAATAAAGATAGAGAAGAAAAGGGGTAAAGCGGCAAGAGGGGAAAAAATAAATGCAAAGCTTTTATTTTTCTATTCATCAGAAGGAGTCTGTGCTGCTGGTTAAAAGGTGCTGATATTAAAAACACACAGACGGCCTTGATGAATGAAAAAAAACAGCAAAAAATGGGTGAAGCCAATGAATAAAACCATTCTGATTTATATTCATCCAGAAAGCAGTCATTTCAACAGCATCAACATGACAGGGTTTGGGACGCAAAGTGTTGGAGCTCTGTACAGTGACTGATACAATTTGTATTGACTGATCCGGCAAGCAGGCTTATAAAAACAAAGGTCATGTACTTTGGATGGATGAATGCAGATGAAAATCACTTGCTACTTTAGCTCTGTGATACAGCTGATGTCAGGGAACTCGGTATGTTTTTAAGAGAAAAATAACAAGGGAGAGCTTGCAAAGCTTACAATGTATGTAATGTGCACAACCAGTCTCAGTAAGCAAAGAGGCTCCACCTTAAGCCATCTTCATGCCAAATGCTTATATGTCTAAATTTAACCAGAAAACCAATCAGAATTTAACTTCATTTGCATGTTTTATGTCCTGAACAAGTTCTCTTTCTTTCAATCCATGAGGGAAAAATGGGGAAAGACAGTGATGTTGGCTTGTATCATCCTCTTTCCCCTACCTTTCTGTGTTCCAAAATAAAGTGACACTGCTAGAACAAGTCATGCTTATGTTTCTCCAATGCAAAGTGTATGAAAAGATTATTATTAGAGGTGTGGTTATGGAAAGGTATGATATGACACTGCCTCTGCTTTTCTTTAGTTACCCTGGGGGCACACAGACAGAGGAGGTGAGGAGGAAAGCGGATAGATACAAACTGTTGCTGATGATGGGGATGCGTGAGAAAGACAGAAAAGGGAGAGCAGCACTTTGATGACATTATCAGACGACCCAAACTGAACCTGAGGACTTTTCTTTAATTTTCAGAGGACTTGTACATTTAGTGAGGTCTTTGTTTTCCTTTGTTAGCAGACCATATTGTCATGCAGTGTAGATTTCCTAACACAAATCATGTTTTTACAGGCTGTAATTGAATAATCTGTAAGGAATGTTTATTTATTCATATCATTAAAAGTTACAGGGACAGTGCACATAATAGACATTTCTGTAAAAGTGCCAGATTTGCCATCTTAGCTCATTTTCAGCTGCACCATGGGCAGGTGTACTTAAAGCAAACATGGAAAGAACATGTGAACTCCAGGCAGAGGGAATCTGAAGGACAGTGCTAACCACTGGGCCACAGTGCAAGTTTACAAAGCGAGAGGATATTTTTCAATTAAGAAGGTTCCTAAAAATTTAACTGACCCAGAAATATCTATTAAGTGACAGCTATGAACTCTCTATATTATATAAGGTGCTTGAGTCCATTTCCAATCTCTTACATGCACATGAGCTATTGTAATTTCCTTACTTCTCCTCCATGTCTTTACTTGATCTCATGATATTCTCCATGCAGTTTAAGAAAAAACCGTGGCTAGAAAAGAACCATTCAGGTCCAGTGAATATTTTAATAGTTGTCTTTTTTTCAAGTAAATCATCTTTTAAAAAGTGTCACAGAAAAGAAAAAGTCCACAGATTCTGTTTGGGCCTGCTATATTGGAGCTACAGATGAGCCTTCAATTTTATGAATGACCTGTGTTAGCATAGTGCTGACAGTCTGAGGTGATCCGCTTTGTAAGAGATGCTACTCATTAGTCTTGTGAGTGCTATGGGATGTGTGTGTAGCTGTGTATCCACGTCATGCGAACAACCGAGACCTCATCCCGCAGTAACCTTTATAAGAGGTGAAAGAGTGAGTGAAATAAAAAAAGGCTAGCTACTGTGGGAAGTTTGATCAAAGTTTCATATGTGTGGAGGAGCAAAAATTGATTTCATACGTCTGTCTATGAACTGGCGTTGTGGTGGAGTTACTCACGTATGTGTTGGGGTCCTGAGCCTGGGTCTTAGGCAGTGGGGAGTCACAGTCAGGGCTGTAGTGTTCACAGAAGTCATAAGCAGCCTGGGCGTTGGAGGCGATCAGAAGCTGCTGGATGTCTCCCTGTGATGAAGAGAAAAAACAGATCAACAGCTCCATCATCTATTAAGGAGCTCAATGAAAACGTATAAAGTAATTCTTTTAATTAATTAATTAAGCAATTAATGCTACAATTTATGACTTTTCCTCATCCAAATCGAGGATCTAAGGACAGAGGGTGCCGCATGCTGTGCAGATTGTAAAGCCCTTAATGTAAAATTGTGATGTGTGATATTGGCTATATCAATAAAACTGACTTGAAAAAAAAATTACTTCCTACTGTCTTAACTGACCCAAAAATGTAACTACCTGAAAAGCCACCAACATACATATGATTTGTCTGTTCAACCTTTATTGTTGCAGACAGCAGAGGGCACTCACAACCAATAACTGTAGAGTTTGTTTCTTGCCAGTTATGCTTATTAAGGTCCTCACCTGGAAAACCTCCTCATCAAGCAGACGTGCTCCGAACACTGTGATGCCGTTGGTGTCCACCTCTGCGTTGTTGCCACGTGGCAGGGAGCGGGTCATCTTCTTCTTGCAGTCGAGCAGCAGTGTCACGTTTTTCTTTGAAACGGAGAAAGCGATGCGATGCCACCTAGAGACGAGGAGAAGGAACCGAAGGCGAATAAATGTGTAATGTGACTACAGGCCCGAAACCAGACAAATCACATATACTGTTCCCAGCCACCCGCACCCACATGACCCCAATCATGTCATCTCAACCAGTCACAAACTGGTTGCTGCTGGTTACTGACTTGCCATCAGCCAGGTTGACGCCTCTGAACAGTGGATAGTCCTCAGGGGCTGGCTTGCCGTTCTGGTCCTCATACAGGAAAACAGGCGAGCGTCCCATTTCAATGCCCAGCTGCTGGATGCCCTGCTCGCTGTAGATGGAGAGGAGGAAGGCCTGGAGACCAGCCTGAGCCTTAACCAGGGCCATGATGGAGAAGTCCTCCGGGAATCGACCTATTGATGAGGAAAGGGAGGGGAAAGACAATGAAAGAAAAAAAGGGTTACATCATAGACATGGGTCACTGCGGCTTGTGGGTATTTTATGAGAAGAAGAAATGAGGAGAAGGAGGCAGTAAAAGAGAACGGAGCCGTGAAAAAAAACTGTACTGCAAGAGAAAGGTACGCCCTGGATCTTTAACCAGAGCACGTTTGCTTTATCGTGGAAAAGAAGGGAGGCAGGAGAGGCAGCTGAAGGTGTAGAAAGAGAAGGCAAAAGAAATAGCTTTGAGGTAGTGCAGGCTGAGAGATGGATAAGAAAATGTGAAAATGAAACTAATGATGAGCTTTAAGGGTTGAAGTTAGAGATCTGTGTCAGGATCAACTGCTTACGGAATATGAGAATAAAGCGCCATGTGAAGCTGGCATAGATGATGAGGACACATAATAACAGAGCTGGAGAAGGAAGGCTAAACCTCAGAAAATGAGTTGAAAATCAGCTTCGACTTTTGAAGATTTTTTCTCAACCCCATAAGTGCTACCTTCTCTTTTCTCTCCTCACTCCAGGGTGTCAGACAGTACTACTCTCACGTTAATTTGTTATGGCTCTGCCACACAGTTTAACTCAGCTCCTGCACTGCAACACATAATTATACTTTATATCCATGAGCAATCTTGCACAGGGCACAATAGCTCCACATAACTCCAAAGAGCTCTGTTAAAAATACTTCCAGACATAAATAGCGACCTGTTACTCTGATTATAGGTTTCTTTACTCTGGAATTCATAGTAAATATGTAAAATCCTAAAGTATAACCTATGACACAGGAACACAGCCTAATTTCTTCAGATTTGTTGCTTCTTTCCAGAGCAAATTGTCTTGTTGTCAAAGTAAAATAGATATAAAAACTTCATATTTCATTCAAATAGCTGTTTTGTGAAATTGTAGACAATGATATACTCTACCACTGCATTTACATTATCCATAAGGTAGGAGTTCATTTGATTAATTTTGGGCTATGTTGATTAATATTCAGCTGTAGGTACAGTAGTCTATGACTTTAAATAAATAACACTAAGTTCTAACAGTATTGCTAGCTAAGGTTTGATAAGTTATTACAAAAGGTGGTGCCCAGACAAAACAAAGTCCCAAACACTCTATCAGGACATCTTTGAGAGCATTACTGCACCTATTCCATAACTACTTTGCACAGACCTGCAAGGTGTGTTTATCCTGTCATCTATTTTTTATTCTAAGTGTAACTCATGGTTCAATCTATTTTATTATCAGTGACAGTTTGCAAGCAGCAACTGTTGCCAGTGGTGTTGCACTGCAGAATTGTTAAACCGTTGATGGGAACTAACTTAATGTATGTTTAAGGTGTCTGGTTTTAATCATCAGACACCTGCAAGATAATATTGATATTGAGTAATTCTAAAAACCTTTAAAATACACACACAGATGCAGCTCATTTACACTAAACCATGAGGTAATAAATATTAGTTTATGTAGACTGAAAATACATGCACAATTTTTTGATTAATATTAACTAACTTTTTGTGTGGTAAGGACGTCCCTAACACTATCAGACCTGCTATATTTACTTGCCATGGAAGCAGCAAGATGCCAGTGACATTTCAATAGCTTGGTTTTCTTTCATTACAGTATACTGTGAAGTAACATGCGTAGCCTGCTATTTGTTCTTTTTTTTCTTAATAAAATACTTACATATTTATTATGTGCACCTTGTACTGACTGCTTTGGCAATATTTTAACTAATTCTAGCCTATCATGCCAATAAAGCAAAATGCAACTTTAAATATTAAAGAAGAAACAAAAATAAGAAACAATCGAATAAAAGGTCTGCATATTCAATCAGTTGCTTTACTGTAAAACAACTGTGTATTATTGAATTTAATATCAAGAGAATAGTTAATGAGTAAAGTTTCATAGTCTGAGAAAATAGCCCTGATCATGTCCCAAACATCTCTTCTGAATCTGTCTCTTACAAGTCCTCCAACATTATAAAACTGCAATGATAAATCGCTATAAGTCTAAACTTAAAATTAAGTTTTGGTCAACAACCGTATGACATTTTACAGAGCAGACTCTCCAAATACAGCAACAACAGCCTGATGTCCAGTCCTACCTGAGAAGAGCTGCTTGGTGGGGGCAGAGATCTGGGCCTTCTTGGTGATGCGGTAAGCATGATCGGGGCTGCCGGAGCGGCGGGATGTGCAGAAGCCGGGGACCTTCTTCACGCCCTCGGGGAGAGAGGGAACCTGCAGAGCCCGCAAAACATCCACTGGGTCTGAGGAAGAGAAGCAGAAACAACAACCCATTAGTTGTCCTGTTTTACCCTGTTTTTATTTTCTATTTCACCCTTTTTAAAACTATATTTTAATGTGTTTTTTGAATTTCCCTTTGTTGCTTTTATGTTTTATGTAAAGCACTTTGAATTGCCTTGATGTTGAAATGTGCTATACAAATAAACTTGCCTTGCCTAGATTAGCTGCCCTGTGTGAGACAGCAGCTTAATTCTATACAAGTGGAACGATAAAGCTGAAATCCCTAGAAATCCTGTATTGTAACATCAGCATCACCAATCCAACTGGTCTGTGACACCTTCAGACAATGAAAACCAAACACAACATCAAACTTTGAGTCCTGTTTTCGGGGGGACAGAGCACTTCACTCTCTGGTTTTCATTTGTCACTTTCTGTGAATGTAGAAGCGTACATACAGCAAATGGTAATAAATCCCTGCTGCAGCTTTACTTTATGAGTCATTCAGACAGCCACCGGTGTATCTTTTCATAAACATAAAACAGATTATAAAGACTACTTCATAATCAAACTAGAGGAGGCGTCTTCTCCAACAGCTTTTACGAAGGCCCATCATCCTACAGGCTGTGTAGAAATCACTGTAAAGATCTTTTAAAGCTTAATCCTGCACTTCTGCAATGTTGCTAACCCCCCCCCCCCCCCCCCCCAAAAAAAAGAGGACTGTTTAATCTTTCACTACAGCGCTTCTTTTCAGCTGCAGAAACCTAACTTTGCCCAGAGAATAAAAAAAAAAGTTAATCTTAAAAGTAATCTTAAATGTTCTTGCAGTACTAATGCGATATAGGAGCAGGTACAGGATATGTCCACAATGGCTGCCACTGTACATTTAGGTATAAGAAAGGAAGCACTGTGTCGGAGCAAATGGGCCACAGTCCAAGCCACGTATATGAACCACTGCAGGGCAGGTACAGTGGAGCTCAGTTTAACTCAGAGCGGAGACAGTGCCCTCTATTCTGCTCAGATTTATCAAGCAAACTGAAACAAGTGGCTGTTGATATGATAGTGCTGAGTCAAACGCATATTTGAGGATACACGCATTTTACAGTTTCACCTGACATGCACAAACACACAAAAAATCTGGTATATGCACAAATACACACACTCCAGATATGCAGAATACACCCTAACATCACATACAGACACTGTTCCACCAGTCTCGCATCATGTCTCCACTTTCACACACTGAGGTCAACCAGTCTGTTTCTCCACCCTCAGTCTGCACTGTGGTTTACCTTGTTAGCTTTCTCACATTGCTCAAAGGCACTGTGTCAGTCTGTGTGTTTCAGTGTGAAACGCATGGCTCTTAATTTCTGGAATTCGGTGTTTGATTCCCTTCATGACCATCCCACAATTAAAACGGTACTGTTGGACAGTTTTGGAGAAAAGCAACAACCTTTCTTATTTTGTAATTAATGTCACTACACGAGCAACCAAACAGCAGATGGAAACAATGGCTACCTGATGTCCTTTGCTCCGTGTTTTCTCTATGTCCTCTAAAGTCAAATTATTTTGGAAACAGACATCTTGAATGAACCGATCATTTTTAAACATCTTTACTGTTAGTTTAAAATTCATGTCAGCATTTATTTCAACATAGTAGGTGTCAAATCTTAACAAGGGCGGCTGTCTAATTGCTCACATGAGTTGACTTGCACTGTCTTGTTACAGAACAGTGAAGTGGTAAGGGTGTGTTAAAATAGCCACATGCCACTGATTCCTATAGGAACACTATCTGTGACAGAATCAGGCTCAGTCTTGCTGTATATTGCAGCAATTCAAAACTTCGTTGTGCAATTTGTTTCTAGTGAAATGCACATTTTTGCACATTTTTGTTAGTTCACCATGAAGGACACCTCTGTATGTATGTATTTTATTGATGTAACTTCTCCCAAGATGCCGAGCTGCTGTCTAATCCAAGAGGGAATGACAAATATGCCACACAAATCACGCCAAAGTTTCAAAACAGATGGCTTACAAACACGTTGTTCAACATTTCGCAGTCTGAAAACATAAATCAAATGTAATTCTCAATTCTACCTTACAGTTACATCTTGATGGTTTTGAAGTGAGGCATCTATAAAGTTAAAGTTTTCAACAACACCCAGTATTTTTACACTTTCCTGAACTTGGCTATCCAGCCTCAGCCTTGGCTGGACTTCAAGTGTTTGAGGTGCACCATAGAGCTAACTTTGCTGTTAACAGTCAATTATATTCATTTACAGCCAGCCCTGCCATGGCACTTCTCATAATAAACTTATGATGGCAGTGATGCATTGCCCATGTTAAAACTACAGTGCAGATGAAAAGATTGGAACCAAGCCCTCCTGTGATGCAGCCTATGAAGCTTGTTTTCACTCAACAGCTACAACAATAAACAGATTTCCAGGCACATTACAAGCCAAGCATCATATTTAAAAATGATGTAATCATGCACACCTCAGGATTTTTGAAAAGTACAACAACAGAGCATTTTAACACAATGTGAGAGCCTTTCACCACTTTGCTGAATATATAAGGAGCTGTAAAGAGCTTAGCCGCGGAAGGTTATGTTGATGTTAAGGAAACTCTTTCAAAATGTTTTCTAGAAATTGACCTAATCTGCAATGACATTAAGTCCTGACCCAAGCTGTCCATCAGACATGAAAAGAAAGGTGGTGCACGTGACATTAATCTGCAGGTTCTCGTCACACATAGAGCGGTAAGACTCATATCACCTTATAATACAAACATAAACTGACATGCATGAATGTATTCCCAATCTGACAACAGCTGTAAAGTAAACTGTAACACGCTATTGTAAAGCCATCTTAATGCGCAGTCACTTAGGATGCTTTATATTGGCCTCTAATGTGAAGTTTCCTTGTGTTTGTCCTTAACTCACCCCGATCCCATCAGTGGCGCTTGTGTTTAGGTGACACCCAGTGTCTCAGAGCTAACAGTTACCCACAGATGGTCATATTTATACAGATGGAGCAAATGGCGCGTGAATTTTGCCTCAGGGTGTCTAGACCACAGTCCATTAACGTCACTCTACACCTGACCGACAGAAAGAGGAAGAGGAGGGGGAGTGAGAGGAAGTGACAGAGTGAAGAAGGAAGGGGAGGAAGAGAGGGATGTATAAGAAAGATGTAAATAGGGAGAGCGAGAGTTAGATTGATCGGTATTGTGATGCTACATTAACCATCCAGAACAGACACTTCCCTAAAAGCAGCCTGAATGGGGGAATGAACCGAAGGGAGTCGTTAATTAGCGAAATTGAAAAGGTCAAAACAGAAATAAAGACACATATGGAGAAGAGGCTAAAAAGAGAAAGAGGCAAATGAGCACGGAGCAGGATATAGAAATTTCAGGGTGCTCCTTTAAAATTTAGAATTTTTTCCGGATGCCAACGTCTGACTTGACTTGTAGGTTTTCATACGTTAGTTAGTCTAGAAAATGTTAGTGTGTTAAAAAAGAACAAGAAACGTTAGATTTTATGTGCAATTTCCAGACTTTTGAAACTTTATAAGACCTCAAAGCATTGAATACTTTTCAAGACTTTTGCAAATCTGAACAGGAATGCTGGGAATGAGAAAGGTAGAGGGAGGAAAGGAGGGAGAGAGAGGTTCAGGCAAAGGCGCAGTGTGTGTTTGTGTGTGTTTTGGGGGGTCAGGCAGTGACAGTAGACAGCGTGGTTCTATGATGGCAGGATCCTGGATCAGATTGCAGCCCGAACTCCCCCAGTACACCCAGTACAATGTGCCGCTCTGTTCCCCGCTGCCTGCCCAGCTCACATCTGCAGCCGGGGCCCTTCCTGCCTGGAGGACCACAATCACGACAAAAACACACCCACAAAAATAACACGCAGGGCCACAGAAGTACACACTCACACGGCTCAGGCGGGGAAAACTGCACCAACACACCTCGTGAGACGAGGGGTGGTAAATATGAAACTAGACATGGTAGAAAAACAGAAAGCCAAGGGGCACAAACTCTCTTTCTTTACTTTCTTTCTTCTCCTTCTCGTTCCATCAGCCTTTCTTACTATAAGCGCTCACAGATGGCAGCAGCCCTTTGATGTAAATGCAGGCCAATTACACTGCTGTCATTAAGACAGGAAACAGGGCTCCCAGACACGTGAGGGCAGTTACAACCGCTGCTGTAGGTAAAGATTACAGTAGCCTGTACAGCGATCCCTACTGACAGCTGCACTGGCTGAAATGAAAAAGGGCATTTTTAGTACATACGACACTCGTAATAGATCATTAATGAAGTGCCTCTAAGACTAAAACACGTCTGCTTGATGTTCCTTATTAGGCTTAATTGAATCTGGAATTATTTGGGAAGTTGTATAATCCTGCTGGTTTTTCCTTTCTGAACCTTCTTTAAATATTTATTTTTATTTATAAGAAGAGTGCACCTAAACTGAACTAACCTTTTTACCACTGAACACAGGAACTGTGAGATTAGTTGTGCAGGCATATCTATGTTTGAAATCTTGTCAGTACACTTTGAAACTTTAAAGAAGTCTCTGCAGTGACTAATAGCAATAAATACCTCATATATACAAATTATACATTTTCTAAATACTTTAGAAACACAGACTTGATTTTAGTGAACTCCAAATAATTTCTTAGATTATCTTTTCTGATAGTGATCAGAACACATGTTTAATCCTTTAATTCAGGTAATATGTTATGTTATATATTCCTCTGAAATAATGATATGCGGTTTGGCGTATATTATATATAATATAATATTTTTTCAACAGGTGCCCCAGGACTGAAACAATCCTTTCACTGTTATACTCTGTTCCACTCAGTTCCACAACTGACCAAACAAGCGTATCACACCCTGATAGAAAACACATGTGATACCCAGGTTACCAGTCACACTGCAAAATGACTAAAACTAAAATATTTTTCAGCAGTTTGTATTACTGTAGTTCCCCGCAGCTGCCACTAGATGGAGCTAAAACAGATTTAAT